AGGGAGGACGAGATCGAAGAGGCATCTCACTGCAGGATGACGACTAAGAACTAGAGCAGTGGGAGGGGGACCTAGCCAAATCATACATGTATGGATTGTTTGTACAGTCGCGCCCCTCCTCGGGTTGCCAAGCTTGTGAAACACGTTGAACCTTAGTCATGCAACTGGCCGCCTCAATCTCTTCGGTGGTGGCGAACACTCCAGGCTACAACAGACAACCTCCAACGCCAGATCTATGTATATATATATATATACATGCCGCTCTCTGCAACTGGGAGGTCTTGGAAAATCGCGAACCGAGAACATCAGCGACGATGACGACGCCCACAAGCAGGCCTGGATCTCGATAGATGGATCATCGCCCAAAGCGCTGCTGCGTGACGCTCCTACCCCAGCCAACTCTTAACCTCTAATCCGCGATGCATCGCCGATTGATCGGCGATCGGCCACCGAGAGCAAATCCGCAGGTTCCTGGCGGGGCGCGCTATCAGGTGGCGATCGGGAGTCAATGCGCCCCCCCTGGGCCCATCTCCCTATGACTCAAGATCCTACGAAAGACGTGCGCGCCCAGCCAATCTGCGAGGCCCGCCTCGTGTTACGAATGCTCACGGACTGCACGCTCTCGAAGCCCACGTGAATTCAGATACGGGTGTCGGTTCGTTCCTAACGATACCGTTGCCCATGATTGAATGTCTGGGTCGTAACTCGTAACTCGGCTCTCCTGCGGCCGTTCGGGACGATCTGGGCACCCCTGGAACGTTCTCGGCGAGATGCACCCGCTGGAACGCACCCATAGGCTGGAAAACGCCGGTAACCGAAGAAAGACATAAGGAACTAAAACAAACGTTGCACCATGAGCGCTGCCCCTGAGAGGGCCGCGTGCCAGCGATGGGAAGAAATATCTGAAATGGCGATGACGATGACGATGACGACGATGATGATGATGATGATGATGATGACGATGATGATGATGATGATGATGATGATGATGATGATGATGATGATGATGATGATGATGACGATGACGGTGGTGATGATGATGATGATGAGTGACGATGATGATAATGATGATGCTGATGATGATGAGGATGATGATGGTGATGATAATGATGATGATGATGATAATGATGATGATGATGATGATGATGATGATGATGATGAGGATGATGATGATGGTGGTGGTGGTCATGATGATGTTGGAGAGAACGCGTTTCACGGGCGCTTGCCTTGGGAACATTCGGCGGCGCGTTTCGAACCAGGGGGTGGCCCCCCCCCCAACACTCGGCGCCGTCGATCAAAACCAGGGGGACTCCCCTCCCCCCAAAGCCCCCCCCCCCCTCCCGAACCCCCCCCCCACTCCCTTCCCAAGGACCCCACCCTCCCGGGCGCCGGCGCCGGCGGCCGCCAGCAGCGCCGACGGCGGGGGACGCAGATACGATGACCAGAGGCAGCCCAAGGGAAGGTGGGGGGTTTCACCCCCCCCCGCCCCCCCCGGGTGGCGCCGAAGGGGGGGAGGGGTTCAAACCCCCCCCCCCTCGGCGCCAGCGGGGACGCAGCGACGATAACCACCACTACCACCACCACCACCACCACCACCACCACCACCACCACCACCACCACCACCACCACCGCACTCAACCCACCACCACCACCAACCCACCACACAACCACCACCACCACCACAGCCACCACCACTACCACAACCACCACCACCAGCACAACTCACCATCACCACCACCACCACCACCACCACCACAAAAACCGAGGGCGCGCCGCTGGATCTCCCCAGAGGGGGGGCTAAGAACCCTTCCAGCGCCCCCCCCTTTTCCAGATCCGTCGTCGGGGAAGCCCCCTCCTTTCCCGGTCCGTCCTGGGGAACCCCCTCCCCCCTCACCCGCTTTCCCGGTCCGTCGTCGGGGACCCCCCCCTCCCCCGTTTCAAAAGGAGGGGGGGTTCTGGACCCCCCCGCCCCCTCCCCCCCTTTGGCCGCCAAATTCGACCCCCCCATCCCTCCCCCGCTTTCGCCACGGCGCCCCCTGGCTCCAGAACCCGACCTCTACCAACCCGAACACTACCACCCCGACCACCCGTAACCTTAACCCCAAACCCTAACCATTGCCCCAAACAGAACCAGTACGTATTATTGACTACTCACTACCCACTACACTCTACTCGCTACTCACTTCTAACTATTCACTGCTCACTACTCACGGCTTACTACTCACTACGCACTACTCCCTACCCACTACCCACTACTCACGACTCAGTACTCACTACTCACTACTCCCAACTCACCACTCACTAATCACTATTCACTACCCATTACTCAAGACTCACTGAAGAGTACTGACAACTCACTACCCACTACTCATTGCTCATTAATCTCTACTCACTACTCACAAGCCACTATTCACTACTGAGTACTCATAATTCACTACTCACTACTCACTGCCCGCAACTAACTTCTCACTATCCGCTGCTCACTACTCGATAATCCCTACTCCTTACACAGTAATCACTGCTCACGACTCACTACTTACTGCTCGCTACTCCCTACTCGGTACTCGCTACCCAATACGGAATCTTCACCACCCACTACGCACTACTCACTACTCACGACTCACTACTCCCTAATCCCTGCTCCCTACTCACTAGTCAGAAGCCACTACTCACTACCCAGTACTCACTTCTCAATACTCACGACTCACTACTATCTACTCCCCACGCACGACCCACTACTCACTACCCACTTGTCACGTCTCACTACTCACTACTCCCTACTCCCTACTCACTGCTCACGACTCACTACTCGCTACTTCCTACTCGCTACCCACCACTCCCCACCCCGACTCACTACTTACTGACTATTCCCTCCTCACTACTCACTGTTCACACTGCTCTACGCGCTACCCACGACTCCCTACTCGCTACTCACTACTCACTACCCACTCCCCACTGCCCACTACCCACAACTCATTACTCGCTACTCACTACTCACTGCGCACTACCCACTACTCATTACTCACTCATTACTACTTGTTACTATCTTCTCATTACTCACTTTTCACTACCCACTACTCTCTACTCACTACTCACGATCGGCGCCCTGTTCGGCGCAAAGGAGCGGTGGGGTGGGGAGTGTTCGAACACCCCCCTGGCACCCCCCCCCTCTTTCAAGGGGGAGGGGGGGATTGGAGGGGTTCGGACCCCCCCCAGGGGGTGAGGGGGGGGGGTCGAAAATCTCACCCCCCCTTTGAAGGAGGGGAGGGGGGGGGCTTCTGCGAGCACCCCCCCCTTTTTTCATTTCGTTTTCGCAAAAAAATCACCACCACTAACACCACCACCATCAGAATCTACCACGCCACCACCACCACCGCCACAACCACCACCACTACAAGCAGCACAACCCACCACCACCACCACCACAAACCACCACACCTCCACCACCACCGCCACCACCACCACCACCAGCACCACCTCCACGAACCACCGCCACCACCACAACCCACCACCATCACCACCACCACAAACCACCACCACCACCACCACCGCCACCACCACCACCGCCACCACCACCACAACCCACCACCACCACCACCACCACCGTCGTCCTCGTCGACGCTCCCCGCCGCCGCCGCCCGCATCGTCGTCCCCGCCGCCGCCGCAAGCCGAGGAGAGGGAAAGAGGAAAAAAAGGGGATGGTGTGGGGGATCTGGTTCCAAACCCCCCCAGCCCCTCCAAGACTACAGAACGCGCCTTTTCTGATGTTGGGGACGATGCTGATGCTGATGATGGTGTATGTAACGGTGGAGGGCGACGGTGATGATGGTGGTGATGAAGATGATTATTATGATAAACATGCTGTTGTTGATGATAATGATGAGGTTGACGACGAGGATGTTGATGGCGATCAGGAGGATGATGATGGTGGCGATGACGATGCTAATGACGATGAGTTTGATGCCAATGGTGATGATAATGATGATAATGATGCATAGTGTGATGCTTGTGATGGTGAGTATGGAGGTGGTGGTGCTGATGATGATGGTGATGCTGATGACGACGACGACGATGATGATGGTGATGATGATGATGATGATGATGATGATGATGATGATGATGATGATGATGATAGCGATAGCGATAACGATAACGATGACGATGATGATGCTGATGATGCTGATGATGCTGATGATGCTGATGATGCTGCTGATAAAAGATGATGATGATGATGATGATGATGATGATGATGATGATGATGATGATGATGATGATGATGATGATGATGATGATGATGATGATGATGATGATGATGATGATGATGATGATGATGGTAATGGTGGTGATAGTGCTGATGATTGACGAGGAGGAGGGGGAGGAGGAGGTGGAGGAGGAGGACAATCATCATACGCATACTAACAGAAGGGAGTGTCTCATCAGAGTTAAGATGACGGATGCGAGGGGTGTTTCGGGAACGTACGGACGAGAGCGTGTCTGCACACTCGCACCTCTAAGCCATAACTGCTACGCAAGCGTGCCCAGGGAGGATGGCGGAGGTACGAAGGGAAAGACGGTGACCCCACGAAGACCTCCATAGGGGAAAGGGGGACAGGAGGAGCAGGGTGGAGTAAGGGCGGAGGAGGAAGAGGATGCAAGACTGTACGCGGGGGAGGAGGAACAGGAGGAGAAGGAAGAGCCGATCCTCCCCGAGCTACTAGCGCTGCCCCTCGTCGGATGTATGTTTGGACGCCCGAAATGGGTACGGAAAGAATGGGTACAATGCCCAACAACAAATGTTGTCCCACACCAACAGCGGCCGCTGTTGGGCAGGCGGCCTTCTGTCTCAAATTGACACAGGCCGCGGCGGCGTGGACAGCGAGTCCTGTTCAAAATGAACAAGAACTGCTGTTGGGCATTGTACTCATTCTTTCCGTGCCCATCTCGTTCGTGCAGAGTCTGGGTCCACTGCTGGCGACCCGGAGCCGGCGGCGGGGCGGCACCCAGGCGCAGATCACCTGGGGCTCCCCGGGCTCGACGCTCGCGGCCTTCAGGCGGGGCCTCAGGCCGTCCTCGGCGGCGCGCGCCAGAGTGGTTGCCCCGGACTCCCCCGCGCTGTGCGAAGAGATTCGCCTGGCGAAGGATATCCAGCCAGATGCACCTGTGAGCACCGCAGTCGCGGGTCGCGGGTGTCATCTTCAGTGGAGCTCCCTAGGGTCAGGGGGACAGAAGACCTGGGTACAAGGGACTCGGAAATCCCCGACGAGGTCGTCAAAAAAATGACGAGGCCGAGCCTGCATTTTGACGAGGCCTCCCGCTGCAAACATCCCACGAAACTCCTCCTCGTCAAAATCCGAGGCGCGGTCGTCAAAAAACGATGGCGAACCCGAGTCCTGGCAAACCCGGGTCTTGCGCTCCCCCGATAGGGGGCCACGCGGCGTGCGAGGGGTGTGCAGACCGACGTGGGTGCGGCGGACGCATGTGGACAGTGCCTCTGGGGCCTTGGGTGGAGTTTCCCTATGGGGCCACGGAGCGCGCGAGGGGCGTGACGAAATGGGTGCGGCGGACGCAGGAGCTCCCTATGGGGTCACGAAGCGCGTGAGGGGTTTGCCGGCCCGGGTGTGGCGGACGCATGCGAACGGTGCCGTTGGGGCTTTCGGCGGAGCTCTCTGTGGGGCCACGAAACGTGTGAGAAGTGTGCCGAAATGGATGTGGCGGGCGCATGTGAACGATGCCTCTGGGGCATTCGGTGGAGCCACGAAACGTGTGAGGGGCGTGCCGAAGTGGGTTTGGCGGACGCACGTGGACGGTGCCACTGAGCCTTGCGAGGGGCGTGCCGAATTGGGTGTGGCGGACGCATTGGGTGGAGCTCCCTACGGGGCCACGAAACGTGCGAGGGGTGTGCCGAAATAGGTGTGGCGGACGCATGTGGACGGTGCCTCTTGGGCCTTCGGTGGAGCTTTCTATATGGGGCCACGAAACGTGTGACGAAGTGTGCCGACATGGGTGTGGCGGACGCACGTGGACGGTGCCGCCGGGGCCACGAGATGCGTGTGCTGAGGGGTGTGCCAAAGGTGGGGGGGACGGCAGGAGGGAGGAGGAGGAGGAGGAGGAGGAGGAGGAGGAGGAGGAGGAGGAGGAGGAGGAGGAGGAGGAGGAGGGGGACCGGCGGGGCACGGTCCAGCCAGTTCAGCGCAGAAGATCAGCATCGACAAAAAAAAAATCGGGCACAGGTTGCGCGAGCGGGAGTTTTCGGCGACGGTGCCGGAGATCTGCGCGGGCTGCGCGCGGGGGGCGAACACGCAGAGCCATCCTCGCCCCGTCGCCGCCGGGCCCGAGTTTCACGATTTCGGGTTCGACCTGGCAGGAGGCGCAATCACGCGCGACCTTGGTGTCCAGCAGACGCTCGAAGGGGCCGGGGCCGACGTCGCCGTCGCCGCGCAGGTCGCGCGCAGCCGCGGCAAAACCTGCGCGCTTGACGACGCGCCTCGCGCCGGGCACGTCCTCGGACTGCGCGTCCGCCTCTGCCGGGGGCGAGAGGAAGACTGGGGCGCGGTCGGACGACCCGGGGCGATCCGCACCCCCCCCACCGGCTCGCGGGCGTCGCGCGCTGAAACTCAGGAAGCACAGCAGTCAACTCTGTCGAGTCTGGCGCGGCGTGAATCGCCAGGGTCGCCGCCGCGGCGGGCATCTCAGAGTCGCTGGGGAAGGCTGCGTCGACGATGTTCAGCGAGGCGACGGGGGGGGCTGGATTCGCGACCAGAGATCATATGGCCCACAGCTTCGCCCTGGCATCGGCAATGGGAATCGCCGACAATGCACGTTGAAGCCGCGGATGATGCAACGAAGCAATGCGCGAGCGGAAGAGCGGGGGCCTGTTCTCTGCCTCAGTCTCGCCGGGGCGACATGCGCGCGGGCGAGCCGGGCGCGCTCGGCCAGCGAATGCGGTGCGAGGGCGCAATCCTGCTGCGGGCAATTCCCGAGAGATGGCCCGGATTTCTCTCGGCAATGTGATCCTGGAGCAAGATCAGGGCGCCGCCAGGGCCAGAGTTGCGGCAGCATGGCCCGCCCCGCCGACAACTCTGATATCCTTTCTGAACCCGTCGTATTCTGCCTCGGCACCGCGAGGTTCCTGAGGGCAGACGATTGAGCGTGTGTGTGTGTGTGTGCGCGTGCGCGCGTGGGGTGTGCGTGTGTGTGTGTGTGTGTGTGTGTGTGTGTGTGTGTGTGTGTGTGTGTGTGTGTGTGTGTGTGCGTGTGTGCGTGTGTCTGTGTGCGTGCGCGTGTGTGCGCGCGCGTGCGTGCGCGTGCGCGCGCGCGCGTGCGTGCGCGCGCGCGGGGGGCGACGCAATTCGCTGCGCTTGTTCTGACTGACGCGGTGATCGCCCCAAGGGTGCTTGAAGCGAGGTCGCGCGGCCCCCGTGGCGATGCCGAGAGCGGCGGAAGAAGAAGCTGGCCGCTGGGCTGCCCGGGCGCCGCCGGGCAGCTGCTAGGCTGCTGGGGCGAGGCGGCGGGGTCGATGAGGGCAAGACGATTAGCCTAGGCCCCAATCGCAGGCGGTGAGTAAGGAAGGCTTTCAGGATTTCGAATGTCTCGCTCGGGAAGGCCCCAATGCTGCATGGCGCTGAGCTGCGCGGTGGCCTCGGCAACGGTCGCGCCGATCCGCGAAGGCTCGGTGCCCCGCGAGGTGAGCTCATCGCGTTGCGGGGCGAACCTTTCGACCCCCGCGCCGCTGCGCGTGCGCGAAACGAGCGGCCATGCCACCGAGTCGTCCATCGACGTCATCTGGCCTTTGGATTTATTGACGCCGAGCTTGGACATGGGGCCCCACTAGGGCGAGCGAGCTTGGAGACCCTTCGCGGGCTGGCACATCATGGCGGAGTTCTGCTAGCGAAGGCGGACAGGTCGCGGTAGATCGCCTCGGCGCCGAAGCGGCGCGGCGGTCTTCTTCTTCGGGTCTTCCCTTCACCTGCTGCTCAGTGGCGGCGCGCGCGAACGGGGTGGCAGCCGCCTGCGTGGGGGAGGTGCTCTCGCAACTCCTGGAGATGCCTGGGAACGTGGTGACGGGCTCTGGCAGCAAAACCACAAGCCTCTTCTTGAACTGCTGGGTGCAGTGGCCCACGAACTTTTCCAGGCATCAGTCTGGGCCACGTGCCTATGCACTTCTGCTTCGGACTGGAGGTCGACCAGGAGGAGAAAATAACCGGGCCCCGACGCGGGCCCACGCCTCTGGCCACGCCGAGGGGAGCATGGCCCGCAGAAGCAGCCAGCGCTGGATGAACCACGACAACTCTGCTCCTGGAAGTCTTTTTTTTTCGGGTTCTCCAGCGATCCAGCAAAGTTTGTAACCAATAGTTTTATTCAAGCTCTACCTGCCCCTTCCCCTTCCCCATTCTTACTCTGCTCCTGAAAGTCGCTGATCTGATTCTGCTGGGCAGCGAAGCTGGGACTGAACACTCTCGGCTTTCTGATCTACGCGGCTGGACCAGCCGATGATCATCTCCTCATCGTGGCCCATCCTTGTCCACAACTTGCCGTGGCCCTGGTGTATCTCGGAGAGAATGCGCTCGCTGACGGCCCCGATGACCGACCCCATCATGCCGCCCATCTTCTTGAGTATGGCAGCCTGGGACCATGGCTCGGAGCTTCTGCTTCGGCTACGGGAGTGGGGCGCTGGAGTTCATGCGCATGTGAGCTGTTCGTTCTGCCGTTGGTCACGTCGCGGGTTGCTCGAGGATTCACGCTGGTTGCGGCGACATCTTCCCATGCGCGCGAGAGAACGCCTGGAAAACCGCAGCAACGTGGAACGATCAGGAACGGCACGTGCTTTGGCGCACCCCTGTGCGAGGCTGAGCGCCTTGAGCCCACGTAGTTTAAGCCGAAGCGGCAACGGAATTGGAGCAGGAGGAGCCAGGAGTCAGGAGGAGGCGGAGGATGAGAACATGAATAACCTCAATATGTACCGGCGATGTTGCAACGCACCCTCCCGTCGCAAGCCCCCTCCTCATAAATCCCTACAAGCCTGTCTTTCCTCCGCTCCAAGAAGCCCTTTGCGAGACCAACAGCCCACGGGTTTGTCACTCAGGCGAGAGCTCCGTTTTGTAAAGGAACGGCCCTGCATATAGAGAGGCATGCGGATTTCGCAAAAAAATTGAAGCATGATCATGCTCGACAACGGGATGTCCAACGATATCACCGCGTTTAACCATGGCCACCTCCATTTGTGCAGCCTTTTTTTGCGCACGTGCCCACTCCTGGTCGCGAGGAGAAGAGGGGGTCTCCCACGTAAACCCCATTTTGAAGGACCCGTCCTCCACCTGTGCAGCTGCATCGTAAGCTTGACGTTTTTGGTTATCACTTATGTATACACATATGAATGTATATATAAATATATATATGAATATATATATATATATAAATATATAAATATATATGTGAAAATATATATATATATAAATGTATATAAAAATATATATATAATATATTTATATATATATATAATATATATAATATATATATATAAATATATATATATAAATATATATGAATATATATATATATATATATAAACATATATATGTGAACCATGTGAACGCACGAGTTGAAAGGGTAGCGCTTCCCCAGTTGCGCAGCTGCTCCACATGCCCCACTCCCTGGGCAGTTGACACATGTCTCAAGCAACAGCCCACCTGGGAACCAAGCCGCCCACCATCCCTGCATCTGCTGCGGTCGTTGTAGACGAATGTGCGCGGCGCTGCAGCGAGAGCCGCACATTGAAGAGGGCCTACCATGCATTCTTCGAACTCCTGCAACCTGGCAGAAACAGTGCGCGGGGCGCGAAGGCGAAATGCCCATTTTGAAGACGGCCCGGCCTCCATCCGCATATCCATTGTATGCTTGTAAAGCGGATATACACGACGTGCAAGCTTTGAAGATGAATGCACGCGGTGTCAAGGCGAGAGCTTCATTTTGAAAACGACCCGCACTCCGATCGTTAAGCTGTCGCACTGTTAAAACGAATGTGCGCGGCGCTGGGGCGGGAGGTTCATTTTGAAACGACCCGTCCTGCATCTTTGAAAATGCTATGCAGTTCAAGCTTCACGGTCATGAGTGGGAGGATGTCTTTGGCGACACGCCCAGCCCGCCATGCGGACAATTCTAGGAGCTACCTGCTTACAGTGAGAAGGGGTGGAGGACGAGGAGAAGGAGGGAGGAGCAGGAGGGAGGAGGGAGGAGGGAGGAGGGAGGAGGGAGGAGGGAGAGGGAGGGCTGTGCTGTGTCCGCAGCCAAGGACGGTGGGGGCCCTTGTCCGCGCCGCCAGCGTCCCGCATCTCCTGCCTCCGCACGTGGCAGCGACAGAAGGCGCCGGCGTCGGCCGCGGCACCCCCGTCGACGTGCGTCCCGACCCGCGCGGACTGGTTCCACAAGCCCAGTGCGTAGCGCTCGGGCTTGCCCTCCTCTCGGGCAAGAGAGGCGAGGGGACGCAGCAAGCGCATCAAACAAGACATCGTCCTGCCAGCGGGTGCCCCGCGGAAAGTTCTCAGCCCCCGCTGGCCCCAGGACCAGCTCCGGGGGGGGGGGGGCTTTGACCTGGAACACGCGATACATATCCGATAGAACGGCGATAGCCCCCGATGGCGAGTCCGCCAGTTCCTGGGCCTGGGCACCCCGCCCCTATCGGCGACGAATGGGTGATCGAATCCCCTCCCCCTGAGCCTGTCCCCCCTAACGGCCTAACGTCGCCCCTGATCCTCTCGGGGCGGAGGGGAGGGCGGGACAGCACAGAGGAGGCCCACGCACCCTCGCGTCGTGAGAAGGTCTTCCCCCCTGGAAGGCCCTTGCTGGGCCCCGGGGCTGTCATCAAACGATTCGGTCCGGATCGGCGGTGGACAAGACTTCCTTCCGCAAAACACGCCTTAGTGAAAACGACCCAAGGCCGGACCCAGCGGCCGCAGGCACGCAAACATTGCGACCGCAATACCCTTCGAGAGCCCCCAAATACGATTCGCTAAACAATCACCTTGGCAGGGAAGAGTTCAATGTATCAAGCTATTACCAGACCTCTGGACGGGGAACCACGTTGTAAAAAGCACAGCGTTGGATGTCCGGGGGTTGGCGAATCATCTGCGTCCAACCGCCTTCTCCGGCGCCTCCCGGACTACGGAGGCGCCAACGTTACCCGTCGGTTGGAAGAAGCGGGTCGAAACATGGCATAGGGAGGCGCTGGAAGTAGATGAGGCTTCCGCCAGCCCCTTGAAGAGGAAGGAAGAGGGAAAACCGTTCGACTCTTGACGTAAGAAGGCGCCTGAAAAATAAGATCTGGAATCCAAACATACACGTCGTTCATTTCTAACCGTGCTCATTTCTATGTGTGCTCGTTTCTAATTGTTCCTGGCCCCCTAGTGGCCAGGAAGAGGCCCAGGATAGAAGAATTGAAGATGAAACGATCAGGGCCCCGAAAAAATCAAAGAACTTTCGAATAATAAGGAACGAATAGTGTGTACATATTTTCAACAACTGGTGGGTATCGAGGAGTGCCCGCGCGAGGGGCGGGTCCAAACTGCGCAGCAGATGCCGTGCCTCCCCGAGCCACTATCACCCCGACCGAGCCTCGCCGCCTGGCCCCTGGCTGTGCCCAAGTCTCTGGCAACCGCTCGGTCAGCGCCCCTCAAACGGGGACTCCACTAACGGGTACTTTGGCCAGTGACCCAGCGGAACTCAGCCTCTCCCGATGTGGGCAACGCTGCATTGCCAGATTGAGGCCCGAAAGTGTCAACTTTCGGCAAAATTGCACAAAGTACCCGTTAGTAAGTACCCGTTACCGTGCGGCCGCTCGGGACGATCCGGGCACCGCCGGAACGCTCTCGGCGTGGCGCGGATGCCGCAGAGCATCTCGAGGCTGGACACCCGCGGGGAGCTGGGGAGACCGTCCCAAAACACAGAACACCTCGACCCCCCCCTTTTCGTCTGACCCGATCCTCCAGGGCGAAGGCCACGTACTGCGCGAAGGTGTAGCCGACCCCATCGGGGTCGGACGGGTGCGCCCTCCTGCCACGCAGTGCCAAACGGGGGTCAGCACTAGGATTCGGTCGGGCATGTCCTCCTACAGGCGGATCTCGGAGGATAAATAATCACAGTGAGGGGGCTGAACCGAACGGTCACTCACTGTCCAATGGGTGCGTGGCTGAAGTGGAACTCCGCGATGCGGATTGTTGTTGTTGTTGCTGTTGCTGTTGCTGCTGTTGTTGTTGCTGTTGCTGTTGCTGTTGTTGTTGTTGTTGAATATTATTACTTCTAAAGAATAATTATTGTTGGGCCCCCTGGTGCACGCCCCCCTCGCCGCGCCTAGGCCGCAGCCACATTTTCATCATTTTCGTGAAGAAGTCTCAGGCAAAACGGGGGGGTCCGGATCCGGTTGTTTTGTTGACGCCCGCTTTCCCTGTCAAAAAACAATATAAAATGACATGTCTTGTTCTAACATAACCAAACTTCAAGAATCCTTTGCAAAAAATGACACGAAGTGCACACTCGCGCGCGCGCGCGATTTTAACACAAAAACATGAAAAACCCAATGGTTTTTCAAAAAAAAAAGTTTCAAACATTCATCCCGCGCGCTCTTGCGGATTTCTTAGGAAACCCAATACTTTTTCAACATTTCTGTCAAACGGGCTCTTGCGAGCAACTTTTTCACGTGCTTCGAACTTCTGCAACAACGGTTGCGCGCCTGCCAGGGCCATCATCCCTGTCAAATAATACCATATGGGACACATTCGTTTTTTCTTCGCGCGCGCACGCCGAAATCTTCAAACACCATTGGGTTTCTTAAGAATTTCAGCACCGCGTATCATAAAATCGCACGAATCGCACCGTAGGTCCTCGAAAAACACGTGCACGGATTTTCCAAATTTCTACCCGCGCGCGCTGTCCGAATCCTTAAAAACAAATGGTTTTTCAACATTTATGTTACATGAGCTCGCGCGAGCTACTTTCAGGTGTCCAATGTTGGAACAGGGGGAAAAGTCGTATACTAAGCTAGCTTACAGAAAATGTTACCACAACAAGTCACTGTACCCATGCGCCAGTGTAGTAGCCAAGGTCGTCCGCAGGCCACGAAGTGAAGTGTCCGAACGTCATAGGGCGGGAAGCTGGGTGTGGGTGGTGGCGAAGAGTCGTTTGGAAATTTGGTAGAGCTTGAACCGGCCCCCCCACAAAGTGGGGGTATTGCCCGCCTCCTATGAAAACCCTGGCACTGGTGAGAACGGAGTGTCCCCACGTGCTAGTAATTGTTGTTGTTGTTGTTGTAGTTGTAGTTGTAGTTGTAGTTGTAGTTGTAGTTGTAGTTGTAGTTGTAGTTGTAGTTGTTGTTGTTGTTGTTGTTGTTGTTGTTGTTGTTGTTGTTGTTGTTGTTAATGTTGTTGTTAATGTTGTTGTTTTGTTGTTTGTTGTTGTCGTCCCACCCGCGACCCGCCCCGCGACCCACCCGCGACCCAACCCGCGACCCACCCGCGACCCACCCCGCGACCCACCCGCGACCCACCCCGCAACCCACCCCGCGACCCACCCCGCGACCCACCCGCGACCCACCCGCGACCCACCCCGCGACCCGCTCCGCGACCCGCCCGCGACCCACCCCAAGACCCCCCCGGCGTCCCACCCGCGACCCACCAGCGACCCACCCGCGACCCATCCGCGAATCAGCCGCGACCCACCGCGACCCACCCGCGACCCACCCGCGAATCAGCCGCGACCCACCGCGACCCACCCGCGACCCCCCTGCGACCCACCCCGCGACCCACCCGCGACCCACCCGCGACCCACCCCGCGACCCACCCCGCGACCCACCCAAAATGTTCGGCGCCTGCGGCGGGCTTGTTTTGCATTCGTTCCAGGTGGAGAACCTGCGACCCATCCGCGACCCAAACCGCGACCAGTGTACAATTCAAAATGTTCGGCGCCTGCGGCGTGCTGTTTTTGAATTCCTGCTAAGTGGAAGTGGAGGACCCGCGACCCACCTGCGACCCAAACTACGTTCACTGAACAAGCCAAAACTTCGGCGCCTGCGGCGAGTTTCTTTTGCATTCGTTCCAGGTGGGGAACTTGCGACCCAAACCGCGTTCAGTGTACAATTCCAAATTTTCGGCGCCTGCGGCGTGCTGTTTTTGATTTCCTTCCAGGTGGGGGTGGAGAGCCCGCGACCCACCCGCAACCCAAACTACGTTCACTGATCAAGCCAAAGATTCGGCGCCTGCGGCGGGCTGTTTTTGCATTCGTTCAGGGTGGCCCACCAGCGATCCCCCCCGCGCTGGACTTGTCAGAGCACGCAAACCGGCGCCTGCGGCGGGCTTGCTCGCATTGGCTTGGGAAAGCGCCCTCGCGCCATTCCCCCGATCCGGCCCACGTTGCCTCTACAACAGCACATCGGCGCCTGCGGCGGGGCTGTGTCTGAACACGTTCATTGACAATCCAGCTGCCTGCTGCAATTCGGCATCCGTGCCCAAAGCCTGGGTTCAGGGTAAGCTGCCGCCCGCAATTCAGGGGACCCGGGGCGCTCAAGGACCCTCCTGGGCGTCCACGACCCCTACCACACAGCACGCCAGTGCCCCACAAGCGCGGCGGCGGATTTTGCATGCCGTCTGAGCCCCCCAAGACCTCTTCAAGCTCCGCTCATACACACCAACCCATCCAGCAATTTTACCCTGGCGAGTTGCCTGGATCAGAGAAGTCGGGGAGCATTCAGTGGAACAAAGGATTGGCTTGCCGTTATCTTGAAAAAGAAGGGCGAGGCAGAGGAGTAAACACGGGACGAGGCGGACGCGGAAGAAGATTGCATGTAAGGAGAATGTGGAGAAAGAGGGGGGGGAGGAGGAGGAGGAGGAGGAGGAGGAGGAGGAGGAGGAGGAGGAGGAGGAGGAGGAGGAGGAGGAGGAGGAGGAGGGGGAGGAGGAGGAGGAGGAGGAGGGAGGAGGAGGAGGAGGAGGAGGAGGAGCAGGACGAGGAACATCAAGAGGTGCGAGGCGGAGGATGTGGAAGCTACGTTGAAGCTGTCTTGGGCTATCTGGAGAGATTTCGGAGGGCACCTTCAGCTGGCAGACACAAACTGAGAGCCATGTACATCAATCTTCGACGCTCTAACCCCCCTTGCGGTCCCCCCTCTGGACCCAGAGGCCCGGATGCGGGGGAGTGCAAACCCCTCCCCGAAGGGGAACAATGGGATTGGTAGAGGATCGGGATGGGGGAGGAAGAGGAGAAGGAGGAGGAGGAGGAGGGAGAGGAGGAGGAAGAGGAGGAGGAGGAGGAGGAGGAGGAGGAGGAGGGAGAGGAGGAGGAGAAGGAGGAGGAGGAAAAGGAGGAAGAGGAGGAGGAGGAGGTGGAGGAGGAGGAGGAGGAGGGCGCCATCGACAGCGAAGGTGAGAGCCACGAGGTCCGCCGGCTCGACGCCCGCGTCGCCCGCGCCCGCTCCCTCACTCTTATCCGCATTTGCGGGGTGCTACGTACATAACACAAAATATTCAAAAGAGTTAAAAGTTCTAGAAAAATCGTTCCCTTGCTGTTTCTCGACTATTTGGGGTATTCTCCCTGCAGAGGACATGGCATTGACACTAGGAGGGTCGCCACTGTCTCGAGGAGCCCCCTGGTTCCTCGAGGGAGAGGGAGCCCCCAAGAGAACACCCCAGGGCCCACCCGAGTGACCCCGAACGGCTGAAAACCTCCTCGAGCTCCCGTCCTGGAACCTGCATCCTGGCAGGCCTCGGGAAAAAATAGCGAACCCTCAGGCCACAGTTATCTGTCGACGCCCCCCCCTCCCCCCAGTGTCCCAAGCTGGCGGTGGGTCTGACGAGTTGCACCCCGACCGCAGTCTCCCCCGCGCGTGCCAACTTTGAGTTTGGGGGCAAGGGGGGTGTTTACCAATTGTTCCCCTCTACCGGGTGACCCACTCCACGGCCTATGTTGTTCGCATCCTACTTAAAGACCCTATCCTAGAAATAACTTCGAGCACCCGGCAAAGTGCCAAAAGAGTGTCGAACGGGTGTCGAAACAGTGTCGGGCGAGTGTCTCCCAGGGCCCGACACGTGAAAACCCTCGAGTTTTCTGTACTTTTTCTGGCGCTCGCAACTCTTTCTGGTGATCAAGGCTAAAGTAGGTTGGAGCATCATAATCGGGATCGGCCAAGAGGGGGGTGTCCAAGAGGGGGGGGCGCAAATCATGGCCGGCTGCATGTGCGCGGCCCAGCGGGGGGGCCAGGGACGCAATGAAACAAGAAGAGGCGCCGTGAAATCTGGGGACATATCATGCCCCCCGCCATGATCTCCCCCTCCCCCCCCCTAGTCATCACCCCCCTCTTTGCCGCCCCCGACATGAGCCACGGCGACCCCCCTTCGGCACTGCCCGACGCCTCTCCCGGGGAGGCTCGTGGCCGTGCCCGCCGGCCGGCGGGGCGGCGGAGCCCGCGGCGCTGCCGCCGCACCCGCCGCTGCCGCCGTCCTTTTGCGGGGGGGGCCCCAGAACCCAAAGACGCTCGGAGGGGTGGGCAGTTCCATCCTGGCGCTCCCTGAGCATCTTCTTAGGGTGGAGGGCTCAGGGTGCAATCACAATGGACTTCTGCACCTCGAGGATCAGTCCGTCTTGCGATTCACCTCTTGCAGATTCCAGCCACGAGCATCCATCGAAACTGCGATTCAGACTTCACCCTTTGCCCTCCACCCGAAGCAAACGCTCGGGCTCCGTGGGACGCAGGAGGATCTGCTCGCAGTAGGCTGGAACATCATAACTCTCGCTGTGAGATCTTCTGCGATCGTGCCTTTCTGTTGCCCGCGACGCCCGCTCTCAGGGGGGTGCGCTGCCCTGCCCAAGGCCGCCCGGGGTCAGGAGGGAAAGAAACACACGGACACAATCCATCGTCGACTCCCCAAAAAATGGAGGGGTGACCAGTTCCGTCCCGGCGCTCCCTGAGCATCTTCTTAGGGCGGAGGGCCCTGGGTGCAATCACTATGGACTTCTGCACCTCGAGAATCAGTCCGTCTTGCGATTCACCTCTTGCAGATTCCAGCCACGAGCATCCATCGAGACGGCAACTCAGACTTCACCCTTTGCCCTTCACCCGAAGCAAACGCTCGGGCTCCGTGGGACGCAGGAGGACCTGCTCGTATGTTGCGCCCTCCTTGGATTAAGTCGGGCCTGCCCCCCACAGGAGGACTTTCGACGAAACATAAGAAATATCCCAAAAATAATCCAAAAATAATCCACAACTAGGCTGGGGACATGTTTTAAAATATGTTTTGACCTTTTTGGGGTATTTTGGGGGTATTTTGCGTTTTTCGTCGAAAATCCCCCTGTAGGGGGACAGGCCCGACTCAATCCTCGGAGGCGCACGCCCGTGCGGATAGCGCAGACTGCAGGCGACTTGCTGCGCAGCGCTGCCGAGGCGGTAGGGCCAGCGAGCGCCCGCCACGGAGCACCGAGCACCTCTTATTGCTGCAAGGCTCCCGAGCGCGCGCGCCGCCCCCAGGGAGTCCGACGCACGCGCACTACCAAGCCGGGCCTGTCCCTCTACAGGAGGAACATCCAAACATAGGCAACAAGTAGTCAGGGGACGATTTTTTGTTTTCCTGTGTTTGACCATTTTGGGGGGTCTTTTGTTCGACTGTGTTTGGTTTTCCGTCGAAGATCGGCCTGTAGGGGGACAGGCCCGACCTAACCCTAGTATGAATGTGTGTTCGGTGACGCCGATGGTTGTTTCTATCCTGGCGCTCTGCCTCTGGGGCCCGCCGGGCCCCAGGCCATGACAGAAGAGACGGATCCGGGCCGAGAAGATGCCCCCAGGGACGGAAATCGAGACCTCCATGGGGCCGTGGGGCCGCGGCTTGAACAAATCACGTCGCCAGATGTCTGGGGATGGGGCAGGGAAAGATCTGGGCTGCGGAGGATCGCAGACCCCCGCAGATGCATCGCCGATGCACCGGCGACGCCGGGACGGAGACGAATCGGACCGCGGACCGCACCGCGTCGACGGCATCGGCGATGCGGCGCGTTCCTCACACCACACCTGCCCTGGCAGGAGCAGTCAGCACCAGATCGGGAAATCGGGTCAGATCGGACTATGTGTGTCGAATCGGGCCGCATCGGCACGGAGTCGAAACGCATCGGAGCGGCCGCGCCAGAGTGCACAGCAGCGCCGCGAAATCACCGGGCCCGACCGGATCATCGGAATACACCGGAATCCCATCGGACCGAGCCAGCCAGAATCGGGTCAGGCGAAAGGGGGGGATAGCAAAGGGGGGGTTTGAGAATCAGCTCACGTAGCTGATTTTCCCGGCGCCTCCCGGCGCCGGGCGCGGCCATGTATCGAGGAATGGGCCCCTCGGTGAGGCCGAAACCAGCTGCATGCAGCAAATTTCGTAACCCCCCCTTTCCCAATCCCCCCCGTTCGTCCGGCCCGAGTCATTCGGTGCTCGTGCCCCGACCCGGGTCTCCAGCGGCCGCTCGAGCCGCTTTGGGCACCCCCGCAACGCTCTCGGCGAGGCGCAGCATCCCCAGGCAAAGACACCTACGAGGACCAAGGTTAAGTCGGGCCTGTCCCCCTACAGGGGGTTTTCGACGAAAAATACAAAACATCCTCACAAATCATCCACAAATTGTCCAAAAATAGTCCGGGAACCTTTTTTTGACTATTTTTGGAACTCCTTGGAGCATTTTGGGGGTATCTTTAATTTTTCGTCGAAAATTCCCCTGTAGGGGGACAGGCCCGACTTAAGACCAAGGAACACGTGCGAACACCAGATCGGTCGGCTCGAAGTGCATCGGAACGGCTGGGTCGCATGGGGAGGAGGAGGAGGAGGAGGAGGAGGAGGAGGAGTAGGAGGAGGAGGAGGAGGAGGAGGAGGAGGAGGAGGAGGAGGAGGAGGAGGAGGAGGAGCAGGAGCAGGAGGAGGAGGAGGAGGAGGAGGAGGAGGTGGAGCCCTAGCCCACTCGTGGGAGACCGGGGGTCCTCCAGGCCGGGGCCGCCGGCGCCCGGGCCGTCGCAGCCGCTCGTGCCGCCCGTGGCGCCGTCGCCGCCGTCGGGCCCGGCGGACTCCTCGGAGTCGTCGTCCTGGAGAGGCCTCCCCACATGAGGTCCGAGCAGAGGGGGCTCGGAACATCGCGCCGCGTCGCCGCGACGGCGGCGCTGCGTCGGCGCCGCCGGCGCGCAGAACACCGCGCGGGGCCAACATTTGAGCAGGGGCCGACCGTCCCGGCATTCGTATAGTCCTACCACGGCATGTTCTCAGAACCCACAAATGTTGGAAGAACAAAAACAATGTTCTTAGAACATAAACCCGATGTGTTAAACAATACAGTCTCATCCAGAAATGTTCTAAGAACATTTCGTGGAAACCACAAAAGGTTCTTAGAACATTGTTTGGTGGGGCTATAGGCGAGCCAGGACGCTTCGTCACTGCTTGACACATCGAGCCACATCGCCGGTGCAGTGGCGATGCGGCGAGAGCCTCCGGCCCCAGTGGCTCGGACCCCATCTTGGGAAGGACGGTCCAGCTTCCACCGTTCGGCCTCTGGGCGGACGAGGGACGGCACGAGACAAACTGCTCCGCCGTCGGAGGCGCCCGTCCAGGGGCGGCTGGAGAGCTGATGCCCCAGCGGGGGCGTCGGGGAGCGTCCAAGAGGGGGGCTCGCAAGTCATGGCCCGAGGCATGTGCGCAGACGAGGGGGGGGGGCCAAAGGACGCACTGACATGAGAAGAGGGGCCACGAAAGCCGGGGAGGTACCATCGCTCCGGCCAATCCACGCCCCCTCCAAAACTTCGCTCCCCACCTGGGATCTGACGTTGCCCCCAAACTGCAACATCGCACAAACCATCACGACCGGAGCCCCAGACCCCAGCTTTCTGCCTCGTTTCCCGGGCCCCATCGCTCTGTGAGGATCCTGGTGCCCGAAACTGGGCGACAAAACGCCCGGTGGTGACAAACTTGCGCAGCCCCAGGATCGGAGGGCCTCTTGGACGACCCCGACAGGCGTAGACTCTCCGGCCGCCCTGAGACGGGCGAGGAGGAGGAGGAGGAGGAGGAGGAGGAGGAGGAGGAGGAGGAGAAGGATCAGGAGGAGGAGGAGGAGGATCAGAAGCTCGTGGGCGCCCCGATGGCGGAGCAGGTTCATCGTATACCGCTCGCCCTCCGGCGGGCCTCGGGCGCCCAGAAGCAGGCGCCCCACGGCGGCCCGGGCGTGAACGGAGGCGGGAACCACGCCAGGCCCGGCCTCGGGGGGGGGGCTGCGACGAGCGGCGCGACACGGGCAGCGCCGCACCGCGACGCGGCGGCCGTGGTGATGCTGCTGGCCACGGGCCAGAGGAGGGGGAGGAGGGGGAGGAGGAGGAGGAGGAGGAGGAGGAGGAGGAGGAGGAGGAGGAGGAGGAGGAGGAGGAGGAGGAGGAGGAGGAGTAGGAGGAGGAGGAGGAGGAGTAGGAGGAAGAGGAGGAGGAGGAGGAGGAGGAGGAGGAGGAGGAGGAGAAAGAGGAGGAGGAGGAGGAAGAGGAAACAGGGCGGGCGAAAGGCAGGGAACAGCGGGGGGGGCGGCAAGCACGCTCACCCGCCGAAGCAGGACGGCCGAGGACGGAGACTGGGCCGCCGGGCTCTCCAGAGAGGCGCTCGCGGCAGTCGGCGGAACACCGCGACGACCGCGCCGACCACCTGCGTCGGCCTCGCACGCGCAGGCGATGGAGAAGCTCGTGGGCGAGCACCTGATCAGCAAAGCCATGGTCCGCGCCAGCGGCCCAGCGACGCTGCCCACCGGCGCGAGGATCCTCCGGAGGGGCTCCGGCACCTGTCCCCCCCGAGTGCGCCGGCACGGGCGCGGCCCCGAACCTGCCAGACCAGGCCCCCGTGGCCGACCTCGTCGCCGCCGCGAAAACGAGCTGGGCCAAAGAACGCGGCGGTCGGGGCCAGGCCCGAACGGGGGCAGATTCGAGCATTGGCGCACCCTCCTCGCGGACCGCGCAGCGCTCGACGCCGTGGGCGAAGTCGCAGTCCTCTTTCAGCACGGGGGCCTGAGCGCAGTGGCGACCTGGGCCAACCTCGGAGCGCGATTGGTGGCTTTCCGGAAGCCGATTGGCGGGTTGTGACCCATTACGTGCGGAGGAGTGCTCAGGAAGCTGGCGGCCTAGGCCCAAGGCAGCCTGCGAGGTGCACAAAGAGGAGATTCGCCAAGCGTGTGGGTCGCACCAGCACGCCGTGGGGAAGGCAGCTGGGTGTGAAATAATGCACAAGTGCATCTCCTTTTTGTTTGCCAGCAAGGGGACGCAAATGCGGATAGATTGGGAAAACTGATGCACGCGGACATCAATCCCGTTTTCGAGGCACTGGAGGAAACCCATAGAAGCATGCAGCTTGTCTTCCGCACTGGTAGCCACATGGGTAACGCTAGAACGTTCCATGGTCTTGCATGTGCATAGCATGGCCAAGTGAACAATACAGAGTTTGAATAGCGCTGGCGCGTGCAAATTGAGACTTACCTCTCTGTCGTATTCCTGCTGCGCAAAGCTGCCGAAATCAGGGTGGTCAATACAAGTGGCTAGGAGTGGTCTCACGGTGCCCTTCTCGAAACCTGAACATCACTACGCCTGGCAAAAAAACAATGGCTTGTGAGCGGACAAGCGACAGGGAGAGGGAAGCACGGAACACTCGATCTGTCGATCCCACCACCTAGCACTTGTGCTGATTGCAATGCATACGGTCGATACGAGACGGGGCCGTGCCACTGTCGCAAGTCGATCGTTCTTGTAACCTCTCCGCTTGACAGAAGGTGCTGCGCAATGAGCCTGAAATGCGGCTATCTCTATCTGTATCGTTCGTCGCGGCCACTGCCAATCTTGTTTTTGTCAGCCGTCGTGTCTGCTCTCGATGAAATAGCAATCACCAGAAAACACAGACGTAACTTTCAAACATTGTCAACAATCTTCTTTAAACTATGGGCGCGCAAAGCTGGGAGTGGGCGTCCGCTAAGACGTCCACGAACACGAAGAACGACCGCCCTGGCGTCTTCTAGAATTTGAAACGTATGTGAATCACACTGGGGCGGAGACGTATCAATAATGAACACAACAATTGCAGCCTGAGACTGGCTTACATGTAACACAAAAACACGGGTGCCGGGAAACGTGTCAAACGCGAACCCACGACCAGGAGGCACCTCTTGCAATCCGACATCTGTTGTTTATTGGCTCGACAGACCGTATGCCAGCGACGCTGCTGACTTAGCTTACTGGAGGAAAGAAGCTTGGGCGATCCAGGAACACCCAGAAAATCACCAGCAAAAGGAAGCGCAGGAACTGGAGAGGCGAGAGGAGCAGGGAAGCGGGGTGGGCTGGGGAAGGGGGAGCGAGGGAAGAATGAACAGAATTGAAACAACTTGCTTCTGCCAGCGGTCACTCCCAGAGGGGGAGGGAAAAGATGGGGGAGGGAGAAGGTGGGAGCGGACAGCATGCTTCAACAGCCAGCGTTGTCGAAATGCGAATGCTGCCACACACCTGAAGCTGCGCTGAAACTGTGCGGCCATCATGCTGCCACAGGGAGCGCCAGACAAGGAACCACGGGACTTTGCTGGCCATGGCGAGCCTCGGCCACGAATCGACCCGAAAACCACAACCCCTACTCGAAAACCAGAATCGCCACGAATCGACACGAAAACCAGAATCGCCACGAATCGGCCCGAAAACCCTGAACCTCAGCCTACGGAACGGCCCGAAAACTGGAGCCCCTCCTCACCCCAAAAGCGGTCCTTCTTCCAGCGTCTCGGCTGTGTTCGGAGGAGCCCTCCTTGAGGCAACAACACCAGCATCGGTCCCCAGAGCCCTCCCACCGTGCGCGCGCACCAGCTTTCCGTGCTGCATCCGGCCGTGGTGACGAGGGCCCCCCCCCAAAAGGCCAAACCACCGCTGCCTCAACGCTGGTCCTCCTCTGACGTGCGCCGCTCGTGTGGGTGACAAGAGCATGCCGATACTGCTACTCCTCGGACCACTCCGGGGGCGCGTTCTGACCAGGAGTTTGAAGCTCACCCAGCCGTGGCGACGAGGGAAGGATAGCGGTATGGATCAGTTCTCCTCCCTTTGCCAGGAGGGGAAAAAACACACAGACACAATTAATCGTCCACTCCCAGGAAAATATTGGAAAATATAGGAAGTGGAGGGGAAGACAAAAATCAAAAACAAATGGGAAAATATAGGGAATCATTTTATTTGTGTGTATTTATTTGTGTGTCCTGGGGCCCCTTCACTTTGATCTGCATGCCGCTTTGTCTTCTCCGAGGCCTGCAGTTGGAGACGAACGCCTCGAACAGGAAGCGGGTGCCCGGCGGCAGGCGGGCCCTGTCGGGCAGGCCCTCCTCCCCGGGCCCCCTCACGAGCCGCATCTCCATGCTGCCAGCGGCACCCTCGAGCGCGGCGAAGACAGCCGCGTGCGCCGACGGCAAAAGAGCAGAAACGACGGCAATAAACATGAACCTTTGACTCGCGAGCGCAGATCTCCGAGAATATGCTTTGTTCAACTGGCATTTCTTCTCGGTTTCGGCCTCCCCGGCCCGGTACGGCGCCCTGGGACCACCAAAACATTGTCCGGCTCGAGAGACTGGCCCGGAGAAGGGGTCGGTACCCCTGGTGCCGCACATTGGACAAAAATCCGCCGACCCCTAGTGGGTCTCCAGGAGCGTGAGATTCCTCACCCCCTATAACGCCCCCCAGGGACCCCAAACTGGAAATTTGACCCCCGCATGACCTTGGACGACCCAGGAACGAGTGAATCATGGGGGATTCGAGACCCAAACTTGTTGTGCTTTTGGTAACCTAGGACGATCCAAGGGGACCCCGGGTCGTTAACAAATCTGTCTGGGACGGTCGAGAAGGTGTCCAGGGTGCCTAAGAGGGTTCTAAGATGCCCTGAAGAGGCCTCCAGAAGGCCTCCCAAGAGAGCCCCCTTTTCAATGCGGCCAAGACGGCCCAGAACGTCCTTAAGATTAACCCAACACGGCCTTAAAGATCCCAAGACCGCCCCGAGAGATGCTCAACTAAGAAAACGCGATATGAATTGCACGTTCTTCGCCCCAAGAGGACCCGTGAAACCGCCAGAGACGCCACGGAAACTTACAATAATCCCACACAGCCCGCAATGAGGCCCAAAGCAACACCTACCCGTTCCCCCGAGAAAAAAAAAAAACTCGTCAAAACTGGATCCACACAGCTTCTCATACGCTTCCTCCAAACATCAAACACGCGTCCCAAAGTCCTCTGACCCACAAGCACGGGCGCGGTAGCGGGATGGGTCTCGCGCTTGAAGTTCACGACCCACGCGCGGGGGCCTATGGTTCCCGACCAAGGCACGGTGGCGGGTCGCCTCTCATGGCGTTCCCACAGTTTTTTTTCTCCGCCCCACTTCTGTCAGGTTCAAGCCTGTTTGGCTTGTCTCCCCACCACCTGTTTCCTCTCCTCCTCTGTACCCTCCTCCGTCTCATCGTTGTCCTTAGCATCTTCGTCGTCCTCCCTGTTCGTTCTCTCCCCCTCCCCGTCCTCCTGAGTACTCCCACAAACTTCGGTACGTGTAGCGCAATTCCACCCCCAACCTCCCAGATCGTCGCATGCGCGGCCATCAGTTGCATGGCTCGCACTTGAAGGTGGCGTTTTGTCCCGCGCGCGCGACGTTGCCCCCCGCCGCGGAAAATGCAAATGTCGAATTTATGTGTTACACGTGCCGATGCGACGATGCGCTGGCCAGCTGTACGCCGTCAGACCGAGACCCTTGCAATCTGCGCACGCCGCGCGCTTGACGCGTCTCTCGATGATGTTTTACTTGCTGTTGTTTCAGATGTATCGCGTCCGAGAAAGCTGCTCCGCGAGCTGCGCGCGTCCATTCGCGCGCCGGCTGGTCTGCTGCATCGGCGATGTCCTGCGCAATGGCCCTCCAATGTATCGCATGGGCCGCGCACCGCTCTGGCTCCTTATATCGCCCAGCGGCCCTCCACTCGGCGCTGATTCAAACGATCTGCCCCCCGCGGAATCGCCCCGCGCCATGGCGCGCAGCGCGTCAGAGGCGCCGTTTCCACCATTGCTTTTCCTTTGCTACTGTTTGCCTCGAACGTCGACGCCTGGCGCCTGGCGCCCCCCCCCCCCCCGCGCATGTTCAACAGAGACTTCGGCTTCGCTTCCACTTGGCTGCGCTTCGCGCGATGCATGGTTCGAGCCGTTTCCGACTCGCCCTTGTCGCCCGCCCCCATCGCTGGCCTGACTGCCGCCGTGCCGCCTCTGTTCATCGCTCGCCACTTCGGTTGCCCATGCCTGTCATGCGTCACGGCCTTTCTCGTCGACGCTTCTCGCGTCCGTCGCGCATTCCATGCAGAGCGTCGGCTGGTCCTTCACCATATGGAATCATTACTTCTACCAGCGGCCTCCGCCGGCACTGCTCGCGCTCGTCTCGCGGCGCCAGCCGCGCCTCCCACTCTTCCCAATCCCCGCCCTTTCACCTGCGTGCCTGTAACAACTTCTGCGCGATGGCCACGTCTCCTTCTCTGCCCAGCTTCCTCTCAAAGGGCCGGAACGTCGATGAGTTCTTCCGCTCTCGCGCGCACGCTATGGCCGCGGCGCCCAACCCGAGCCGCGTCGTCTCTCCGCATCCGCGATCACAGCGCCCGCTCTCCGCCCTTGCGCGGCGCGCGCCGTCGCCGCCAGCGACGGCGCGATCGCGCGCAGAGCGCGCTTCGCACTCGACGCCAGATGCCACGGCGCCCACCTAGGATCCACCGGCGCCCATTCGCGAAGAGAACTGAATGCAGCCTGGGCGCCCAGCCTCGGGGATGTCAGTCTGTCGCGTGAAGTTCGAGCACCATGACTCTCCGAAGTGCCGCGGCACTTCCTCGCCGTCTTCTCCCGCGCCCTCACCCCCGCGCAACGCCCGCCCATGAGTCGCGGCCGGGCGCCCCCGCAGCTATTTTTGACTAATCCAAGCGGTCGCCCATAGCACTGGGCATGCCCCTCGCTGGCGGGCGCCTCCCCGGCAGACTGGCGCGCCCCTTGCCGCGGCGGCCCGGCAACTTCATTTTGTCCTTGACTTTGCGCGGCCGCCGCTGCTTCAGCTGCGGCTGCGGCGATCTCTTGCTGCGACCCGCGGCGGCTGCGGCGCTCGCCCATCCGCCCCTTGCGCGACGCCCTGCTTCTTGACGCGACGACGGATGTTCTGGCTGGCACAAATCTCGACGGCATCCTCAACACCCCCCATTCCCCACATCGCGCGTCTCCCAGAGAGGTCGCGACGGGCCTTCTTTTGCGTCGCTCACTTCTGCGCGCTTCGCATTCGAAATCGCTTTTCTTCGGCAGTGGCCCCTGCGTTGCCCGTGCGCATGCCGTCCGCGCTGCGGCACCCGGCCCGCCCGCGACCCTGGCGCGCGCGTCGGCCTGCCGCGCAACAGGTTGCGCGCCAGCTCTGCGCGCGAGCACCGGCGAAAGCAATCTGCCATCCCCATGGAACTGATCGCCCTGACCCCCCGCGCGCTTGCGCCCCGTCAGCTCCGCCACCCCCTGCGCTGCCCCCGCGCGCCCCCTGCCCCAGGAAACGCGCTGCTCGTGATCCTTCGCGGCCCGCGGCGAACGCTTCCTCGCCCCCTGTAGGTGCGACGAGAGAAACGCATTGATTGCAGCGCCAGCCGGCGGCTCCAGTTGATGAGGAAGTCCGCCGAAGAGAACGCTCGCGGCCCCGAGTGGCTTGCCCACGCCGCCCTTTCCGACTATCGTCGCGCTCTCCGCTAGCATGCGCGACCGAAAGTGCGAATCTAGATCCGCCGACGAAAGTTCGCGCTCGCCATGCTGATCTCATCGGCTGTCACCCTCTTCCACTGCGACATTCGAATGGCGACCTCTTCCTTCTTCGTTTTCTTGTCGGCTCTTCGTCTCCATCAGCTTCGGCGCCCTTGCCCATCGTCTTGCTCGCAGCCCTGCCAAATCCCACCAGCCCTCTGGGCGTGAGTGGTTTGGATAGACCCCTCTGTCCAACCCCCTTCTTCCCCTTCGGGGAAGGGTTCGCCCCTCCTCATGCCCCTCCCCCTGGGCCTGGCGGGGGGGTGGGGGCGCGGGCGGTTAGGTCGTCTGCATTGGCCTAAATGGCGCCAAGACGGCCCAAGAAAGCTCAAGATGACTTCCAATATCGCTCAAGATAGCCATCGATGACTCAAGTTAATTCCTCACAAGCTTACACGAGGCTAGACCGCCCCAAAGACGGCCCCAAGTGGCCACGGGGCATCCCAAGGACGCCCCCGAGAGGCCAAAGTCCGTCAAAAACTGGTGAACCAAATCAATGTTTGTCACCTTCTCGCCTCTACGCCTCTAAGCTTTCAATGGGCGCGGGAGGCTTCAAGATGGCCCCAAGATGGCCCAAGAGAGCCCCAAGACAGGCCCCAGAGAGAGGCCCAAGGCGGGCCCAAAAACGCCAACAAACGCCCCAAGAACGTCCCAAGAGGGCCCCGCCCCAATATGCAACTGTTCGGGTTCCGAATGGGGGACCATAATTGACGCCGTGCTTCTTTTTGAGCCGTGGCCTCCAAGGTGGCCCCAAAACACCTCCCAGACCCCCACAAAGAGCCCCAAGAGGGCCTTCATACCACCCAGGAGAGCTCGAAGGGTACCCCAAGGGGCACCACGGGGACTCCAAAGGGAGCCAGACGGCGCAAGAGCGCACCAAGACGCCCCTAAGAGGTCCAAAAGAAGCCCCAAAGAGACCCCAAAGAGGCCCACCGAGGCCTCCGAGAAACCTCCGACAGGCCTTCGACAGGCCCCACACACCACCAAGAGGCCCACGAAATTGTATACGAATGGCGCGACGTTGCTATGCTCATCGTTGCTCGTTTCGGCGGCGACGATACGGGCGAATAGCCCAGGGGCGGGCATTGCACGTATTCGCCTGGGAGCCCTGTCGAAGACATAGACCATCGGCACCCCTGGATACTCCAGATTTCGTAGTAAAGGGAGGGGGGTCTCATTTCGGGGGGGGGTCTCTTCCAGGCTATCTTGGAGGGCCTGGGGGGTCTGGGGACGATGTTTTGGAGGGTTCTCCCACGGGGGAGGTCTGAAATGGCTTGTCTTGGAGGGTCCAGACCCCCTCCCTTTTATCACGAAATCTGGAGTACATGCATTGCTCTCCCCTGGGCTATTCGCCCCTTTCGTCGCCCCTGATCGCTGCGTTTTGCTGGCCCTTCGCACGCTCGTCCCCGCGCTGAAATGGGGGGGGGCGCATCCGCCCCCCGTGGAGCCGGCCAACGCCCCGGGGGCAGGCAGCACGCGACGGCAGACCAGCGCGACAGGCGAGCAGGGCAAACCACCCCACGCCCAGTCGTCACGCCCGGACGGTGACGTGCAACGTTTCCCACGATGGATACAAACACATATATATATATATACGAAGGGTCCAATCATACTTATCAGCACATCTCACGGCAGACCAGCGCGGCAGACGAGCAAGGCAAACCACCCAAAGCCCAGTCGTCACGCCCGGACGGTGACGTGCAACGTCTCCCACGATGGATGCAAAAGCATATACATATATATATATATATGTGTATACGATGTGTCCAATTATACTGATCAACACATCTCACGGCAGACCAGCGCGGCAGACGAGCAAGGCAAACCACCCAACGCCCAGTCGTCACGCCCGGACGGTGACGTGCAACGTGTCCCACGATGGATACCAAAACATATATACATATATATATATATATACACGATGTGTCCCATTATACTTATCAACACATCTCACGGCAGACCAGCGAGGCAGACGAGCAAGGCAAACCACCCAACGCCCAACGCCCAATCGTCACGCCCGGACGGTGACGTGCAACGTTTCCCACGATGAATAAGAAAACATGTATTCGGTGTGCCCGATTATACTTGTCAGCACATCTCACGGCAGACCAGCGCGGCAGACAGCAAGGCAAACCACGCAACGCCCGATCGTCACGCCCGGACGGTGACGTGCAACGTTCCCCACATCAACGATGTATGCAAAAACATATATACGATGTGCCCAATCCTACTTATCAGCACATCTCACGGCAGACGAGCAAGGCAAACCACCCAACGCCAAATCGTCACGCCCGGACGGTGACGTGCAACGTTTCCCACGATGGATACAACAACATATATTCGATGCGCCCAATTCCAATTATACTTATCAACGCATCTCACGGCAGACCAGCGCGGCAACGAGCAAGGCAAACCACCCAACGCCCAATCGTCACGCCCGGACGGTGACGTGCAACGTTTCCCACGATGGATACAAAAGCATATATACGATGTGTCCCATTATACTTATCATCACATCTCACGGCAGACCAGCGCGGCAGACGAGCAAGGCAAACCACTCAACGCCAAATCGTCACGTCCGGCAGGTGACGTGCAACGTATCCCGCGATGGACAAAACATAATACATGCAGTGTGTCATACCTATCAACACATCTCACGGCAGACCAGCGCGGCAGACGAGCAAGGCAAACCACTCAAGGCCCAATCGTCACGTCCGGAAGGTGACGTGCAACGTTTCCCGCGAGGGATAAAACAATATATATATATATATATATATATATACGGCGTGTCCAATCATTGTTATCAACACATATCACGTTAGACATTATGGTTCCATATTATACCCCCCCACCAGAGTCACGCTACATCCGTAGACCACACATGGCGGACCCCCCTGGGGCTAAAAACGCACAAGAACCGTTAGAAAATCAATGATTTGGGCGTCTTCGGCCTCTTGGGGTCCGACATGGCCTGAAGACGGCTCAGGACGGCCTCCAGACGGCCCACGACGGCCTCAGAGGTGCCCCCAAGATTGGCTAACATTGCTCCAAGAAGGGCCAAGAGGCCACCAAGACGGCCCCAGAGGGCTCCAAGGGGACCCCCAAGAGTACCTCCAGAAGCCAAACACATTGATGCTCCTCAGGGTTTTACCGGGCTTTCGCGTTCTCGCCTTTTTCACCTCTCGGGGGCCACGTCTGCCCGACCAGCCTCCAAGACGGCCCCAAGACGGCCCCAGCGGCTCCCAAGCAGGCCCCAAGACGAGGGGCCCCAGAGATGTCCCAAGATGACCACAGCAGAGCCACACGGCGGCCCCGAGAGGCCCCCCAAGATGGCCTCCGAACGGGCCAGACGGCGCAATGGCGCCCCACGAGGCCCCAAGAGGCCCCAAATAAGCTCCCAAGAGGCCCCCGAGAAGCCTCCAGGCCCTCAAGAAGCCTCCGAAGGGTTCCAACAAACCGCCAAGAGGTCCGCATCCGTCCCGCGGGGCGCTGGCAGCCCCCACGGGGGCGGGCAGAGCGACACGGCCGAACTTCGCGGCAGACGAGCAGGGCAAACCACCCACCGCCCAGCCTTCACGCGCTCCAGACGTGCACTCCGCGAAGCGGGAGGAATTATATCGTCGGACGTCTCCTGGATCTGCGGTGGACCCCCGTGGCTGCGCCACCGACACCGTCTCTGGCGCGGTCCGCGCGCCAGGGAAGGGGGACCAGCGCCGATCCGATAGTAGATCCTCGGAGCTCTCCGCGAGTGCATGTTTCTGCAGTCTTTCCTCTCTTCGGGATGACCCTGTGCCCAGCCATTCCCTCAGATCGTACCCTCTCGCCGCGGCCTCCCTGCCCAGGTGCTCCACCTCCTCGTCCCACACGCTCTCGGCGAACGCCACGCGGCAGTTCTCCACGTCGGGCCTGTGGTGCAGCCGGGGCGAGTCCTCTTCGCGAATCAGGCGCTTGGCACACTTCCGGAACAGCGCGCTGAAGTGCAGCACGGCGGCGTCGTTGCGGTAGTCCATCCACAGCCACCTCGGAAGGCCTCCCACATGGGGCCCGAGCCGCATCGCCTCTGCATCGCCTCTGCATCGCCTCTGCATCGCCTCTGCATCGCCGTGGAGCCATAAGATCGCGCCGCATCGCCTCTGCATCGCCGATGCACCGCCGATGCATCGGCGAGGCCCGCGACGCGTCGGCGCCGTCGGGGACGGGGCCCCGCCTTCGAGGATCGAAAGAGGTGCATCTCGGGGCGGCAGAGGTGCGGCGGAGGCAAGACGGGGGCGCCCCTCCGCTGGCGGAGGGCCGGCAGGAAGCACACGTCGCACCACAGGGAGACGACAGCTCTGCGGGGCTCGGGGCTCGGGGCTCCTCCTCCTCCTCCTCCTCCTCCTCCTCCTCCTCCTCCCAGAAGCGCCCATTCGGGAGGCCTGGCACCTCTCCCTGCCGACTGCGAAGTACTTGCCGGGGTCGTGCACCTCGAAGTTGTACTCGCAGCCCAGGTGCGTCCACACCGAGGCGTGGCCGTCCTCCTCCAGCAGGCCTGGGGACGAAGGGCACACATGCCAGAGAGCACGAGCTTCCGGGGGTCCGCGCGGGCCTCCCGGGTCGGAGCTGGACCCCCCCCCATCCCTGTGGGGTTAAATCGGGCCTGCCCTGTCCCTCTACAGGCGGGAATATATATATATATATATATATATATGTATATATATATACATATATATATATATATATCCAAAATAGTATGAAACATAGTCGGGTGACGATTGTTGCAATATGTTTGATCATGTTTGAACATGTTTGGGCTATTTTTAAATTTTTTCGTCCCAAATCCGTCTGTAGGGGGACGTGCCCGACCCCACTAACTCTGGGGGTCCGAAAACGCAGTGCGGTGACCGGCCGCGCGGTGACCTCGCACTCCGCGAAGAGACCTCACCGCACGGACCGTCGCCGCTGGTGGGCTTGTTCCCCACCGCCACTGCCATGAGTAGGAGGGGGAGGGGGTCCTCCTCCTCCTCCTCCTCCTCCTCTCCTCCTCCTCCTCCTCCCTCCTCCTCCTCCTCCTCCTCCTCCTCCTCCTCCTCTTCGTCCTCCTCCTCCTCCTCCACCTCCTTCCCCCCCTCCAACTTATGGTGGCGGTGGTGGAAAACAGGCCCGTCCGCCGAACCGCTTTTTTGGGGCCCTCGGAGGCCCCAGTGTCGCCCCGGGGACCTCCTCGGAGAGCGGCCCAAGAGCCCCGAGACCGTCCGGCCACCCCGGAGGTCCACTGTCGGGCTGGGCGAAAGGGGGGGATAGCAAAGGTGAAGGGGCCCATATTTTCCCATAGCGAAGGTGAAAGGGCCACACACATAAAATTATTCCCCATCTTTTCCCATATTTTCTGGGTGTCCGTCTTCCCCCCCACTTCCCATACTTTCCCATATTTTCCTGGGGGTCGACGATTCATTGTGTCTGTGTGTTTCTTTCCCTCCTGCAGAGGGGGAATTTGAGAATCAGCTCACGTAGCTGATTTTCCCGGCGCCTTCCGGCGCCGGGAGGCGCCCATGCATCGAGGAATGGGCCCGGCGGCGGGGCCGAAACCAGCTGCATGCAGCAGATTTCGTAACCCCCCCTTTCCCAATCCCCCACTTTCGTCCGGCCCGACACTGGGGCTCACCACACGGTGCGGTCACTGAACGGTTTGGGAGCCCCTGCATGGGCGGTGCCGGAAGCGCCACCAGGGGGATCCGGCGCCGACTCAAGAGATCCGCGCGGAACTCCGAAGGCTTCTGTTGATGCGGTTTCCTCCTCTTCGAGCGCCGTCGCAGTAGTGCCAGGTCAAGTAGTCCTGCTCGTTTCCAGTGCTCGGACGGAAATCACTGTTGGCGATGGCGACGGGGTCCTCGACCTCCCTGCGCACCAGGTCGAAACGCTCCTCGAGGGGGGCAGAACGATACCTACACCGCATGTGTCGGACCTCTTTGGGGGCGCGCTCTGACCAGCCTAGGGCAATCCAGCCTTGGTGGCGAGGGCACACCTCGCAGAGGACGCCCCACACGACGAGAACGAGAGAAGGGTGATTATCCGAATCGGTGTGTGTCCCCCCCGGGGACCCTGGGGCACACACACAAATAAATAGACACAAATCCCAAGATTCCTTTTCCAATGTTTTCTGCATTCTCGCCTTCAGCCCCACTTCGTATATTTCCCGAAATTTTCGAGGAATCGATGACTAGTTGTGTCTGTGTGTTTTGCCCTCCGGATCCTGGTCGGGCGCCAGCAGCATCACGCCGCCCTGGATGCCGCGCACCATGCCTGGGCCATAGTAGACTCGATTGGGCAGCTTGGTGCCGTGCGACGCCATAGGGAGGACGCGGTCCATGGCGGCCGGGGCCTGCAGTGCGAACAGCTCGTCGAGGCTGCGCCGCACGATGACATCGGAATCCAGGTAGAGCACCTTGTCGAACTCCGTCAGCTCGAGCAAGTGCAGCTTCAGGAACTGCGGGTGCCCGAAATCCCGCGACGAGGCGCACAGTGGCGAGCCGCGTGGGATGGAGATCGGGTCCCTGATGAGGCGGACCTGAGGGGGAACGTTATTTGGGGACCTGCTCAAGGGAGGAAGCATCGAGCTGGAATCGGCGATGCATCGACGATAGATCAGCGATAGGTCCCCGACAGCGACTCCGCACGCTCCTGGGCGGAATGAGCTATCGGCCCCTGTCGATGAATAGGCGACTGGGAGTCGATGCGCCCCCCTCCTTGAGCCCATACCCGTCCCCGGTGGCTTTCGGGCACTGACTCGGGCCTTCGGTGGCCGTTCGGGACAATCCATGCGCCCGGGGAACGCTCTCGGCGAGGCGCAGCTGCTGGAACGCATCTCGAGGCTGGAAAGCCGCCGAGAACCGAAGAGCAGATTCGAAAAACTCGAGCCTCGATTCTGGAGGGACACGAGGCGGCAGAAGCGTTCACTGTGGGAGATCCCACAGCTCATGCGTATGAAGGTCTTTCTCTTCTTCGTTGGACGTCGCTGCATCCCCCCTAGGCCCATCCCCAGGATCAGTCAGAATCCAATCAGCATCTTGGATCGAATCGAACTGCGCGTTGGATCGGGCTGTCTCGGCACGAAGTCGAAACCGAATCGCACTGGCTGCGCCAGGATGCACAGCACCGCCATGCAAGCATCGATCGGGCTGCAGCGGACCGTCAGAGCATCGGAACCGAATCGGATCGGGCCAGCCAGAATCGAGAGGAGGAGGAGGAGGAGGAGGAGGAGGAGGAGGAGGAGGAGGGATGGACATGGGACCCCCCCCCGCTGCCCCCTGTGAGAAGTAGGCAGGCGCGTTCCGCTGCTCGCATGGTCACTGCTCGCAGATGGCCTGGATTCGCCGCAAGGGATTTGCGACAGATTACATCGAGGCGAACGCGGTTTTTTCCGACATTTGCGAGTAGGCACTTTGCGAGCAGTGGAACGCGCTCGGCGAGAGCACCTCGTCGTAAAAGTGCCGCAGGAGCTCCAGCCGCCGGGCGGGCACGTCGGCGGTGTGGAGCATCACCGTCCGCGCCAGCGAGCCGGTCCTTTTTTGTTTCGTTCGCGGCGCGCACGCCGGCGCGAGGCGGGGGGCCTCTCGGACAGGACCATGGGGGCCCCTGCACTCTCCAGCGCCGGCGATTGTTCCAAGATTTGGGCCTCTGGACCCCGTTTTGGACGCCCGAAATGGGTACCGAAAGAATGGGCACCATGCCCATCAACAAATGTTGTCCCAAACCAACAGCGGCCGCTGTTGGGCAGGCGGCCTTCTGTCTCAAATGGGCACAGGCCGCGGCGGCGCGGACAGCGAGTCCGGCTCAGAAAGAACAGGAACTGCTGTTGGGCATTGTACCCATTCTTTCTGTGCCCATCTGGTGCGTGCCGACCCGTTGTCTGGTCCCCGGGCCATCAAAATTGGATCCGGGGCGAAAGACCGGCCCCCCGGGGAAGGGGTCGGATCCCCAGGGGTGCCGCACAGTGAAAGAAATCATATCGTCGGATGCCTGGCAAGATGGGGGGCTTCTTCGAAAGCAGCGGCCTTCTTGTAAGAGCCCAGGGCTTCGGAGATACTCCACGGAAGCTGGTAGGGCCTCTGAGAAGACCCTGGCCTTCTAACTTACCCCCCATCTTCTCAGAAGGCCGCCCCCCTTCCGCCACCCCGTTGTGCGCGCCGCCAACCTTCGCAGCGACGCCGCCACCAGGAGGGCCTGCGGAAGCACAAACTACTACACAAACATCAGCTTTCGGAGGTCCGTGGGGACTTCTGGGGTCGGCGCTGGACCCCGCGAACTCGGACAGGGTTACGTGGATTCTGGAATCCGGTCTTACTGCAAATATCCTGGCCATCGCTCGGACGTCCATTCCCTCTGTTTTTTCCAGTCTCGTGCGTGGTTTTTTCGCAGGATGATCCAGGATGCTCCTGAATAATCCCTGCCAGGAAAAAATGTGCACACGTCCGAGCGATACCAATGCATCTGGCGCCGCAGCCGTCCCAGAGCGCCCCAGTAACACTCTGCGAGAGCGCCCCAGAACGCTCCATCGCTCGGACGTCCGTTCTGCGTTCATTTTTCGATTTCGTGCGCGCTTTTTGTTGCCAGATGGTCCTCGCCGATGGTCCTCGCCGATGATCCTCGCCGATGTTGCCAGATGTCCCTCGATGGTCCTCGCCGAGGAAAAGACGCACACGTCCGAGCGATGCCGAGAGAACGCTCTGGGACAACTCGTCTGTCCCGGTCCTGTGCCCGCCCGCCCCCCTCTTGCCCCCCCCCCCGTGGCGCGCGACGCGAGCCACGGGCGGCGCCAGACGCGCCCGCGCGGGTGGGGCCTCGAGCAAACCCAAGGGAGATCATCAGCGGACGAGGAAGGGGAAAATTCGGGCGTTGGCAGAACTGGGTTTAGTGGGACCTGGTTTAGTGATGTGTACTGATGGACGCCCCTCCGCCCCGTTCCACTAACCGGAACTGCCGTCACCCGAAAAAACACTAACTACGGCAGACCTGGTTTAGTGACTCTGGCCAGTTCAGGGGCTCCGAGGCCCTACCACTATCCGGATCCCCTTACCTGGGGTCCTGGCTATACCCGAAAAATACCAACTTTCACGCCGCGTAGGGACCGCCCTGGCCCTAGACCCCCTCGCGTCGGGAGCACGTCATGGCGGAAGGTCTTATGTTGCCTCGGGCCTCTGGGGGCCATCGCGGGGGCCCGGGGCGATCAAACAACGACGCAGGAAGAGAAGCTGGGCCCGGGGAGCAGGTCTAGACCTCGTGGGGTCCACGTCATGACAGGACGTTCCTCGCCGCCGAAGACGCCGGCCCAAGGGCGGGTGGAAAGTTGATATCCCCACGGCGGCACGTCATCGGGAGCGGCCAAGAGGGGGGTGTCCAAGAGGGGGGGGTGCAAATCATGACCGGCGGCATTTGCGCGGCCCAGGGGGGGGTCCTGGGACGTAATGAAATAAGAAGAGGCGCCATGAATTCTGAGGAAAAATCATGGCCCGCGCCATGAAATCCACCCCCCCTAGTCATCACCCCCCTCTTTTCCGCTCCCGACGTCAGGGTGTCAACTTCCCACCCACCCCCCGGGGCAGGCGCCCTCGACGGCGGGCAAGTGTGCGTTGTAGCACTGCTCGTCCGCTGAAGCGAACCGCGCGGAACTCCGAACATCTGTGTTCGCGCGTTCGTTTGTCTTTCTCGGGGGGGCCCTGGGCTCTTTCGGACCACTGGGGCAGGCCGCCAAGCGGCAAGAAGGCGGAGGAGAATTCCAGGAGAAGCAAGAGGGGAATCGCGGATATAGAGGGGGGGAGGGAGGAAAATGACGAGGAGGAGAAGGAGGATCGAGAGAAAAACAACGAGGAGGAGGATACACATAATGACTTGGATGAAGGGCACTAAAAAAGCCAAGGACGCCCACTCACCTCAAACTGGTCGGGAGAAGCTGCCCCCCAAACAGTTCCTCTACCGCGCATCTGCGTAACATCTGAAACGAAATTCGAACACGCCATTGAAAAACCATGCGCCATAATTGTTTTATCACCCCCTTGCGCGGACACGAAACGAAAAATGGCGACGATGACGACAACCACGACGAACACGACGGCGAATACGATGACAGCGACGAGAGGCGAGCAGCGCAAGGCATTCCTGAAGGGATCCTTAGAGGGACCTGAAGCAAACTCCTGAATGGTTCCTTCCGGGTACCTGAGAGGCTCCTGCGAAGCTGCTGCGAAGCTCCACACAAAGAGAGAAAGCGAGAAGGAGAGGGATAGAGAGAGAGAGAGAGAGAGACAACACAAATAGCAAAACGGAAGAAGAAGAGAACAACACATACCACCATTTAACAGTCATCCTCTTCCTTTTGAAAAATAAGCATGAGATAGTGACATTTATATATATATATAGAGAGAGAGAGAGCAAACAAAAAACATAGACCATAGACAGAGAGAGAGAGAAACAGAAATCGATAAAACCCAAATCCCTGAAAGGCGGTTGAAAGATACCAGGAAGGCACGACAAAGGTGCACATGGCTCCCTGACAGGCCCCCTGGGGATCTCTCTCTCCCTCTCTCTCTCTCTCTATATATATGTATTGTGAGAAAGCCTTGCGGAATCCTCGAGCAGCTCCCGGGCCCCCGTGAGAGGCTCCCGAAAACGCACCCGCGGAGCTCCTGCGAGCATCCCGGAAGGGCCACCGACGGGCTCCTCAGACCCCCTCGAGAGACGCTCCAGAGAAGGTCGCCTGGGAGCTCCCGAGGAGCACCCGCAAGGCGCCGGGGGAACTCTCGAAAATCTCCTCGGAGTCTCCTGAAACGGCTTCCGAAAACGCCCCCGGAGGAGGAGGACGAGGAGGAGGAGATAGGAAGAATAATAATAAGAAACACAAGAATAATAATAAGAAGAAGAAGGAAGAAGAATAATAAGCATAATAATAACAATAATAATAACAATAATAATAATAGTAATAATAAAATGATAATAGAAATAATAATGATAATAATAATAATGATAATAATAATAATAATAGTAATAATAATAATAAAGAGAAGACGAATAATGATAATCGAATCCCACCTCCGACGACTGCCCTTGGCGGCCGCGCACCTCCCCCGAATATTGCCCCTCGGCGGCCCGAGTGCGTTCTGAGTGGTGGCCATGGCACCCCGCTTCGCCCCCCGGATCACAACAACAATTGATGCACCGCCGATTCGCAGCTGATCCAGCAGCGTTTCGCTGGCGCCGTTTGGGGGGGTTGTCCGGCGCGCGCGGCTCCGCGCGCGAAATGTTGGTCAATGGCCACCAGGATGGCAGGCTGAACGCCCGAATGTCGTCGACGCGGCCCGGAGAAACGCCCCCGCGCGCGCCCCAGAGTCGCGCCAACATGGCTCTCGCGACCAGGGGGCCCCTCTGGGCTGGGGCCAGGCCAGGCGCCGCGGCATCGCAGAGCGCGCCCCGCAACGCGACGAAGAAGCGCGCGCCGCCAGGACGCGGTAGAAAACCAAGCGACCCACGCAGGGCGTGCCAAAATTCACGTTTGATTCGGTCCAGGCCCGGCTCGGCCCGAATGATATGCAACGCTGCGCAGGTGCGACGCGGTGCCGCGCAGGTCTGCGCTGGCCGCGGCGTTCAGGATGGCGCCCCGGAACTCCTCTCGCGAGACCTCGTCCGAGGTTACCACGGCGAGGCCGCCGCCAGCGGCCGCGCCCTCGGCGGGCTCTGGGAGCGCCGCCGCGAAGGTGACCAAGCAAACCCGCTGCCGAGCCTTGGAGTCTTCCAGGAAGTCCGGGCCCGGCCCTCCAGCCCGGCGGCCGCCGCGCCTTCCGGGTGCAAAAACTGCGCGCGTCGCGGGCGATCTCCGTGACCTTGTCGCGCTCGTCGTCCGAGCCGTCGAGCTGCAACCCCGCGCGGGCCGCAACCCGCGTCGGAGGGCCTCGGCGCTGGTGGCCGTGAGCACGACCCCATGGAGCAGGGCTCTCGAAGCCTCGCCCAGACGCGCCCTCATCGGCGCTGCCGCCGAAGCCTTTCCTCCGAATGGCCCCGGGCCTGCGGGCCTGCAGGCCAGGCAGCGACGACGACGACGGAGACGGCGGCGATGGCGCCCCGCGCCAGCCTCTCCCGCGACCGTCGCCCGCGACCCTCGCCCGCGAAACGCGCCCGCGACCCGCGCGCGCGACTCGTGCGGGCAACCGGCGCATGCGACCCGCGACCTGCGCCCGCGAGGAGGGCATCGACCTGCGCCCACGACCCGCGCGCCCGCGACCCGCCCCCCGGGGGGCAGGCCTTGGGCGGGGCGTCGCCGTGGATCCGCCAGAACCTCAGCTCCAACTCTGGCGCCCTGCCAGTGACTTACCAAGGGGCCACCTCGCCCGCCCAGAAAAACCACGCGCGTGGGGGCTGCAACCGCTGAGAAACTGCCTCCTCGGAGATGGAGATTTTCGCAACCGCGCAGCGTCTGAATTGACGGGTTGGCGAAGAGAAGTCGCTGGGCAACAACTGCAAGATTCAACTCCTCAGGCTTGCTCTTCAAACAAACCTGCTCCCGTTTCTTTTTCTCTTGCTCCTTTTCAAGATCATCCTTCCTGTCTGCATCAGCCTTGTGGATGCGGTGGGTCATCCTGGTGTAGAGGGTTTCGCACTTCTCTTTGGCCACCTCTGGGCCCCCCGGCTTCTGAGGAGGAGCTTCAAGGCCTAGCTGTGTGGCGTGGTCTTCCGTCAAGCAGTGGAATCCACTTTTTACAATGCTTTGGAACTCTGCCTTGGAGACGCCGGCCTGCAGCGTCGCTTTGTATTTGGTCAGCCCCATGGGCAGTGGATTTCCTGAGTAACAGCCACACACCCCGGTGCACAACCCGCAGTGCTTTTCGGATAGTGGCACCTCTGGGCACCACGACTTGCACCGCAAAGTCTGCTTCACGGGACTCCTCCAACACTTCATCCAACTCAACAGCCGTGGATATTGATTTCAATGCTCTCACTCCATCAAGGTACTTTTCGACGCTCGGTGACTCGGGGATATCTATGTCTTCCTGGGCCTTCTGCTAGGCCAGCCTGGCACGCATGTATTGCGACCCTCGTCGAACGCCTTGCAAACCACGTCGGGGATCCTCTGGGTGAAACGCGCGTCCCGCTGCTGCCTCGCGGTTCCAACCACGACCACAGGTGCAGCAGGCGGAGGCGGCGGCGGGGCGGTACCCACCCTTCCTGGAACTGCCAGACCTGGAGCTGCGGATGGGGTCACAACCTGAGGTTGCCCAGCTCTGAAACTCGTGTTGGCTCCTCTGCATACCGCCTTGCTTCTGGATTACTATTTGCAGGATTTCCTTATGTGACAAACCAACAAGATGTATGATTACGATTTGCATGCTTTGCATGATTTCCTTATGTGACGAACCAACCAGATTCATGATTTCCTTATGATTACTATTTGCATGAGTTGCATGATTTACTTCGCTCGTCATTATGTGCTCTCTGCGCTTCGCGGCGATCCCCTCGGAGCGCCTCACGCCACGGAGGCTCCTCGTCTTCCCTCGGTGGCGTGCGGCTCCTGTCGTCGCCTGCTCAGCCAGCAGCTTGCCCGCGCCCCGGCGGCGCAGCTCGAGGGTCAGGGGACCTCGGGCCTCCAGGCGGAGTGCTGCAAGCTGCCAATCTTCCGATGGCGTCATCCGACGAGATGGGCTGTCAGGGATCGCGGTTTTCACAGTGCAGCGCAAATTCTTGGTGCAGAGGGCCAGCCTACAGAGCTGACGCTGGGGATGTGCACCTGCCACCTCTCCTCTGAGATACAAAGGCTACTGACAACATGTGTGAAGGTGCTGCTGCACGCTCGGGTTCATTTAACCTGCGTGCACGCACACTACTTCACAACATGAGAATCGTGATGATTCTGCTGGTGATGATGGTGATGATGATGATGATGATGATTATGATGATGATGTTGGTAATAATGATGATGATGATGATGATGATGATGATGATGATGATGATGATGATGATGATGATGATGATGATGATGATGATGGTGATGGTGATGATGATGATGAAGGTGATAATGGTGATGATGATGATGATGATGATGATGATGATGATGATGATGATGATGATGATGACGCCGATGCTGATGATGCTGATGATGATGCTGATGATACTAATCGGGATGATGATGATGGTGCTGGTGCTAATGATGATAATGCTAATGCTGATGATGATGCTGCTGATGATGATGATGTTGATGCTGATGCTGATGCTGCTGCTGCTGATGATGAGGATGCTGATGCTGATGGTGATGGTGATGTTGATGCTGATGCTGATGCTGATGCTGATGCTGATGATGCTGATGCTGATGCTGATGCTGATGCTGATGCTGATGCTGATGCTGATGATGATGATGATGATGATGATGATGATCATGATCATGATCATGATGATGATGATGATGATGATGATGATGATGATGATGATGATGATGATGATGATGATGATGATGATGATGATGATGATGATGATGATGATGATGATGATGATGGCGAGCCTCGAAATGGCGACAGCTTCACACTTCGCAGCCCCCCAGGGATGGCGAGGTCTCGTTTGAGGATACGTGGGACCCCACTGTGCTGGCTCCCCCAACAAACCTCGAACGTGGCGACAGTTTCACACTTCGCAACCCCCCAGGGATGGCGAGGTCCCGTTTGGGCTTGCGTGGGACCCCACTGTGCTGGCCCTGGTTCGCTTGGGAGCCCCGTTCAGTCCGAAAACTGAAAGCTTCCAAAATGGGTGTTCCGAGTAGATGGGGTCGGAGGACCTCGCCGCATCGGGCATGCACCAGCGATGTGTCGGCAATCTGCGATGCATCGGCGCCGTGGGCGTGAAGAAGGTCGGGCTCCACATCGAGCTGCTCGAGCCGCATCGCCGACGCATCGGCGACCGCGGCACATCTTCCGGCCCCATCTGCTCGGACCCCCCTTGGGAGGCCTGGACAAGACCACCCTTTCTGGGCTGCGCACAGAACAGCCCCCCCCCAGGTAACGCCCCAGCTGGCCTCAAGAGGCCCACCGACTTGCTCAGGTCGGTGCGCCGCTGGAGGCGGCGCCAGGGACCCTGGCGCCTAACACTTCAACCCTGGGTTGAAGTGTTAGGTCGGGCCTGTCCCCCTACAGGGGGATTTTGGGCGAAGAATAAGAAGCATTCAAAACATATTCAAAAAAAACAAAAAAAAACCTCACACAATCGTCCCCAGACTATTTCTGGACTGTTCTTGAATATTCCTCCTGTGGAGGGACAGGCCCGACTGAATTGAAGTGCTGAGACCGCCCCGGACCACCGGGGGCACCTGTTGAGGCCAGCCTGGGCTGCCTGGGGGGGCTGCCTGCGCGCAGCCCGAAGCCTTACGCTCGAGGGCACTGGCTGAGGAGCCCCCTTGGCTAAGGAACCCAGGGTCTGGAAGCCGACAGACCTCCAATCTTGGATCGAGCATGCGTATCACCGCCCCCCTCATCAGATGAGGAACCCCTCCAGGACCTTACGTTTGAGGGCATTGGCTGAGGAGCCCCCTTGGCTAAGGAATCCGGGATCTGGAAGCCGACAGACCTCCCATCTTATGTTGCTCCCATCGCACTTCAGGACCACATCCCAGAAATAATCTCGAGCACCCGGAAAAGTGTCGAAACAGTGTCGAAGCAGTGTCGGGCGAGTGTCTCCCTGGGCCCGACACGTGAAGACCCTTGAGTTTCGGTACGTTTTCTGGTGCTCGAAATTATTTCTTGTGGTCAAGGCTAGATGAAGTCGGAACGTCATAGCTCCAATCTTGGATTGAGCGTGCATCTCACCGCCCCCCTCATCAAATGAGGACCCCTTCCAGGACCTGAAAACTTCCTGGGCACAGTCCTTAACCCACGCCCCCACCGTACCATGAACAACTAGAGCCCTCCCAGATGGCGTCCGAGCAGATGGGGTCGGAGGATCGCGCCGCATCCCCGATGCATCGCTGATGTATCTGCGATGCCTCGACGATGCATCGGCGATGCATCGGCGACGACGGCGAGCGGAAAGTCCGACTCCACACCGAGCCACATCGCCGATGCATCGGCGATGCAGCGGGATCCTCCGACCCCATCTGCGCGGAACCCATCTGAGGCCTGGACCACCACGCCGTGCACGCAACCAGGAGGAGGAGGAGGAGGAGGAGGAGGAGGAGGAGGAGGAGGAGGAGGAGGAGGGGGAGGAGGAGGAGGAGGAGGAGGAGGAGGAGGAGGAGGAGGAGGAGGAGGAGGAGGGAGGGGGAGGAGGAGGAGGAGGGGCCCCGAGCGCGTACTCCACGTCGCCGCCGTACAGCAGGGTCACGTACGCGCAGCGCTCCAGGAGGGGTCGCTCGGACGGCTGGCTCTGCGGCGCGGCCCGCGAGGGGGCGCTCGAGCTGGCCGGGAGCTCCGGCAGGGGCGCGCCTGGCGGGGCGCCCCATCCCTGCGCCGTGGGAGGCAGGAGGAACCCAGCTGCAATCCTCCCGCCTCTTCCTCCCTCCTCCGTCCTCCTGCTCCTCCCTCCTCCTCCTCCTCCTTCTCCTCTCCTCTTCCTCCCTCCTCCTCCTTTCCTCCTCCTCCCCCTCCTCCTCCTCCCTCCCTCCCTCCTCCTCCTTCCTCCTCCTCAGGCCCTAGGAGGGCCACGGCCGCGGAGCGCAGGCGGGCCAGGCGCAGGGCCGCGATCTCCGACGCTGTGGTTCCCAGCCATCCTGTGGTGCTGGGCCCTCGATTCGAAGATGCAGCGCCCGTCGTCGCGCCTCCTGCTTCCTCCTCCCCCCTCCCTCCTCACATCCTCCCTCCTCCCTCCTCCTTCCTTCCCCTCCCTCCTCCCTCCTGCTTCCTCCCCCCCCCCTCCCTCCTCCCTCCTCCCTCCTCCCTCCTTCTTCCTCCCCTCCCTCCTTCCTCCCATCCTCTGGTACTGGAACAAAAAGGAACCTCATCCTCATCCCATCCCTCCTCCCATCCTCCATCCCGTCCCATCACATCCCATCCCCCCATCCCTCCTCCGATCCTCCATCCTCCCATCCCTCCTTCTCCTCCCTCCCTCCTCCCATCCTCTGGTACGGAACTTAGCTGCCCCGATACGCGACACGCAATACGTATCGTATTGATACGGAGCTCAACACGTAGGCTGAACGTCCGACGCAGTACACTCGCCGAAGCGTGGTCCAATACGTGGAGCCAACACGCAACGTATTGACACGGACGTCTTGAACACGGGACGTATTGCGTTTCAAAACGGGCGTATCGAGGCAACTAAGCTATGGAAGAAATTGCACAATCCCCAACAACACATGCTGTCAAAGACCGACAACGACCGCTGTTGTGCAGGCAGTTTTGTGTCTTCAAGGGACAAGGTCCGCGGTGGCGCGGACAGCGAGTCCTGTTCAAAATAAGCAGGAACTGCTGTTGGGCATCGTGCACTTTCTTTCTGTACCCATTTCGATCGTGCCGGACCTTGCCGCTGCCCTCCGCATGTCCATGTCGGCACACCCCTCACACATTGTCCAATATGGGGCTCCACCGAAGGCCCCAGATGCAGTATTCGCATGGCGGCCCCAAACCCATGTCGGCACACCACTCACACGCTTCATGGCCCCTATAAGGAACTCCCCTTCCTTCGTCCCAACTGCCTTGCAGTACCCACGACTGCATTTGGTTGGGCCTCTCGCCAAGATATCATTCCAATTCTGGGTGCTTTTCACGGATGCCGGCGTCTGGGGCCTATCGTGGAGCCCTGGGACAATCAAAAACGGATCCGGGCCGAACAGCCGCTGCTGGGGAAGCGGTCGGGACCTCTGGGACCGCGCATTGAACAAACCAAATCGTCGGAGGTCAGGGTATACAGTCATCGGCCTGACCTAAGGAACGATAAATAAGGAACGAAGCCCCTTTTTTACCCCAAGGAATAACACATAAGGAACGATCAATAACAAAAAACGCATAAGGAATCGTAAATAACGCATACAAGCCTAAGGAACGACCGAGCCCCTTTTGAAAAGTAACTGTTCCTTATCCAAGCCGCTCACTGTACACCTACACCTGTCCTGGTCGGGCCAATCCTGGGCCAAGGATCGGCGTAGAAGGGGGAGGGGTCCCGAGGACTGAGGCACGAGGCACATGGTCGTGTCGGACCACCTAAAGGGGCCTCCTGGGGCTCCCTCATCGCCATGGCTGGATTCCCCTTTGGGAGGCCTAGAAATTGGCACCAACACCAACACAGGGGGTTGCCTCCACAGGGGGAAAATGATCCTCGATTCCGGTGTTGGTGGCAATATTTCGGCCACCCGGGAAGCCAGAATATTACCACCATCACCGAGATCGGGATCGGATTCCCTCAGTGGAGGCACACCGCCGATCTTGGTGTTGGCGACAACCTCTAGGCCTGCGACCCTTGGGATGCTGGCCAGAACTCAAACTGAAAGCGGTCCAGGAATCGATTCTTGATAGGGGGTCGTCATCGCTGCCGGTCAACATGAAAGACAAGCTTTCCGGATGACAATGGTCCTCGACGCACTGCGGAGAAACTCCACATTTGATGTCTGGGCCCGTCAGTCCTCCAACACTCAGGGCCGAGGACAGAGGACTACAAAAGACCCCGTCGTCGTCGTCGTCGTCGTCGTCGTCGTCGTCGTCGTCGTCGTCGTCGTCGTCGTCGTCATCGTCGTCCTGGTCGTCGTCGCCGCGTCGCCGCCGTCGGCGCTGCCGGCCGCCGCCGCAGAGGCGCGGAGGAAGGGGGAGGGGTTCGACCCCCCCCCCCCTCGCGCCGGGGGGACGGGGTCGGAGGGGGGAGGGGAGGGGGGACGGCCGTCCCCCTGGTTCTGTTCGACAGCGCCGAATGTTCTGGGGGAGCCCCCCCCCCAGGTTCAAACGCGGCACCGCCGAATGTTCCCAAAGCACGCGCCCGTGAAACGCGCCTCCTCGGAACTGCCGACATCAGCCATCCGGGCATGGATAGCGGGGAGGGTGCACGCAACACCGTGGGCGGTGCCCGCACGGCAGCATGAAATACGGGGAACAGCATCGGCCATCTGGGCGTGAAGGCAGGGAGGGGGCACGCTGACCGAAGGACCTGCCCGAACGGCGAGCGTCATGGACAAGGTCCAAGGCCCAGCGGATCCGAGCAAAGTGCAGTGCGCGCCAAAGGTGGAACGCAAGGACTGTGGATGCCACGACAATGGACACCCTATCATTCCTATCCTCGAATTCAAAACGTATTGAAAGTGACGGAAAAATTATGAGCATGCTTTTTAACCATGTTTGTTTGCATGTCTAAAACATGTTTAACACATGTTTTAGACATCTGGAAAGTGTTTGGCAACATGCTTCCTCGCCACTGGTCGTCCTCCACAGCGCAGGGACATGTGCAACGCACGGGGAGCTAACCGGGGGCAGAGGCCCGAGAGACCCGAGGGCGGCGAGGCAAAAGAGCTCGACGCCGGGGCTGCCGCCCCCCGGCCTCCAGAGAGGGCTGGCGGAGCTGGCACGGGAGGGGGCGGGGGAGGGTTCGGCGTGAGGAGCACACACAAGACACAACACACGACGCGCACGAACACACAACGCCCACAGGCGCACACACGCGCAGGCACACGCGCAAGCACAAACGCACAGACACACAGGACACACAAACACACAGAACACACAGAACACACAGACACAGAGAATACACAGACACACAAAACACACACACACAAGCACAGACACACAGACACACAGACACGCACACACACACACACACACACACACACACACACACACACACACACACACACACACACACACACACACACACACACACACACACACACACACACACACGCACACACACGCACACACACGCACACACACGCACATACACGCACACACACACACACACACACACACACACACACACACGCGCGCACGCACGCGCACGCACGCACATGCAGCAAGCGCGAGCACGCAGCACGCAACGCGCACGCGCACCCCGAGGCACGAGACACCCGGGCCCTCGGCGCCGCAGGCCTGGCGGGCACCGCCGCCGCAGCATGTGGTGCCGCAGGGTCACGGACATCTCCTCGCCAGGGGCGCTCCCTCGGGGGGTCCCAGTGCGGTGCGGTGGCAGGCCGTGCGGTGACCTCGAGATCCGCGAAGACACGGTCTTGGGACCTTGGGAGGCCCCAGTCGCCCGTGACGCTCTCGGAGAACGACCCGAACCCCCAAACCGAGCAGTTACCTCGAAGCGGGTACGCAAAAACCAGCACGATGCCCAACAACAACCGCAACAACAACAACAACAACAACAACAACAACAACAACAACAACAACAACAACAACAACAACAATCATTTTACCCTCATGCACCATGCTTCCACATGACACATGCATCCATCTGGATAACACACCCCATCATGGGGGATTGTTCTGGCATGCGGGATCCGATACTCCCTCACCCAGATATCCCGCCCAAGAAGGTTTGGCCACCACCTCTTCCGAGGAACTTCAACATCCATAGCTCGGACGGCACATCGCCTTCGCAATCGCCTTGCGCATGCCCCGCATCTCAGAGGGAGAGGAAGAGGAAGAGGAGGGGGAGATGAGAGAGATAGGGAGGGGGAGGAGGAGAAGGGAGGGGGAGGAGGGGGAGGAAGGATGAGTAGTTGTAGTAGCAGCAGTTGATGATATTGTTGTTGCGGCTGTAGCACTAGTAGTAGTGGTAACGGTAGTAGTAGTCCAAGTAAGTAGAACTGGCTTGTGGCAGCCAAGCGTTCATAGCGACGTTGCTTTTTGATCCTCCTTTAATGTCTTCTCTCCCTATCCTTGAGACGCAGAAGTCTCAAAAAGTTGGATGGTTCAGCACATCCAGGAAACCTATCGCTGGACCGGCCCAGATATGGTTCCAGAAGCGGCTCGGGAAGCTGCGCAGGCGCCAGAAGCAGAGAAGCACCACGTACGGGCGCCGGCTCGGGCGTCCGGCCCAAAGCCGCTCCAGAATCGGCCCAGGACAATTCCCGGGCGCCGCAAGCAGAAATTCAGCATTCTCGAAAGAAAAATGTGTATTGGAATGGCCTCTTTTCGGCGCGATCGGAACTGCCCGGGCGTCCGGCCCGGGAGCCGGGCCGGGTGCCGGCCGGGCCGGGTGCCGGCCCGAGCTCCGGAATCGGCCCGGACGGCCTCCCGGGCGCCGGAAGCAGAAATTCAGCATTTTCGAAAGAAAAATGTGTATTGGAATGGCTTTTTTTCGGCGCCGCCTCGGAACTTGATTTTCCGGCGCCCGGGCGCCGGCTCGGGCGCCGACCCAGGCGTCCGGCCCGAGAGCCGGGCCGGGTGCCGGCCCGAGCTCCGGAATCGGCCCGGACGGCTTCCCGGACGCCGGAAGCAGAAATTCAGCATTTTCGAAAGAAAAATATGTATTGGAATGGCGTTTTTTCGGCGCCGCCTCGGAACTCGATTTTCCGGCGCCCGGGCGCCGGCTCAGGCGCCGACCCAGGCGTCCGGCCCGGGAGCCGGGCCAGGTGCCGGCCCAGGCTCCGGAATCGGCCCGGACGGCCTCAAGCAGAAATTCAACATTTTCGAAAGACAAATGTGTATTGGAATGGCGTTTTTTCGGCGCCGCCTCGGAACTCGATTTTCCGGCGCCCGGGCGCCGGCTCGGGCGCCGACCCGGGCGTCCGGCCCGGGAGCCGGGCCGGGTGCCGGCCCGAGCTCCGGAATCGGCCCGGACGGCCTCCCTCCCGGGCGCCGGAAACAGAAATTCAACATTTTCGAAAGACAAATGTGTATTGGAATGGCCTTTTTTTTGGCGCCGCCTCGGAACTCGATTTTCCGGCGCCCAGGCGCCAGCTCGGGCGCCGACCCGGGCGTCCGGCCCGGGAGCCGCTCTCGGCGGCGAGCAAGAGCACCGAGCCCGAGTAAAAAAGGAGGAAGTCTCGAGCCGGAGCGTTGTTGTTGTTGGGGGGCCGGTTTTGGCGGAACCCCAAAACGCCTGAGCGTGAGCCTCAATTTCAGAGAAAATGCGGCCGGCGCCTCGGCGAGAGCGCCAGGGCGAATATAGGGGGTCCAACAATAATAATTGTTTAGTAATTAACGTTCAACAACAACAACAACAGCAGCAACAGCAACAGCAACAACAGCAACAGCAACAACAACAATAATTTTAAGACCGTTCGCCCTTATATACGAGACCTATGTTGCTTCACATCAGCAATTTGGCCCCTGCTGACTTTTTTCAAAATAATATATTGGGATGAAACGCTGCCGCTGGATATATCGAGCACAGTTGATCACAACACAAACGCTCCTGCGATCCCCGCCAAAATGGCAAGAAATGGTAAGCTCAGATCCGCATGGCTACATTGCAACCGAACCGCTTGACCACCATCTCGACCGAACTGGCGGAATTCGACCACGCGTCCGACAAAATACGTTCGACGAGGGATGCGCTGCACAATGCCCCGGCCACGGGCAGCGCTACGAGGGAAAGCGGGCCCTTCGATGTGTCACTTTCAGCGCCCGTGAAAGTGACACCTCCCAGGGCCCACTTAAAGAGCACCAGAAAGGCTCCAAGAAGGCCCCGAGAAGGCCCCAGGGCGGCACCAAGAGGGCTCCCAGAGGGACCCAAGAGAGGCCCCAAGAAGGGCCCAAGAGGGCCCTCCGCGGTGTCACTTTCAACGCCCGTGAAAATGACACCTCCCAGGGCCCACTTAGGGCCTCAGAAAAGCTCTAAGAAGGCCCCGAAAGGGCCATAGAGAGCCGCCCTGGGTTCAACTCCGCGTGGCGGAGTTGGAAGCGATAACTTCAATACCCTACTGGAGGCCTCTTAGGGGCCCTAAGACGGCACTGAAGAACCCCATCGGGGCTTTTTCAAAGGCAGAGGAGGGCGCAAAAAGGGGCCTCAGTGAGCCCCTGGTCTAACTCCACCTGGCGGAATTGGAAGCGATATCGCCCGGCGCCTTCATGGAGCCGCTCGGAGCTTCCAAGACGGCTCCAGAAGGCCCCAGGAGGGCCCCAAGAGGATCGAACGACGATTCCTGGAAGTGCACCAGTGAGACCCTTGTTGACCTCCGCCTGGCGGAGTTGGAAGCGACAATTTCCAGTGCCCTCTTGGGGCCTCTGGGGGGCCCCTCAGAAAGCTTTGGGGAGCACAGTGAAGGCCTTCGCAGGGCCGCGTGAGAGCCGTACCAGGGCCGCATGTGTGCGCGGATGGGGGCGACGAGTGCTGACGCTGACGAATATGAGAATGATGAGGGCGATCAAGGCTGGCCCGAAACAAATCCTGGCGCCATTGCAGGCCGCCGATTATCGGCCACGCCGCCAGGACGACGCCAAGCAACAAAACGACACCAACCAACAAACCGACACCAACCAACAAACCAACAAATCGACACCGGCCAACAAAAGGACACCAAGCAACAAAACGACACCAAGCAACAAAACGACACCAACCAACGAAACGACACCAACCAACAAAACGGCACGAATCAACAAAACGGCACTGACCAACCAAACGACAAATCACTTCACGACACCAATGAACAACGCGAAATCCACCGACCGCCAACCAAGCATAAAATCAACCGACACAACGAAACCAACCCATAGAGCCAGACCAACCACTGGATTCGTGAGTCGGGGTAGTCATGGAAGTGAGCCGCTGCAGCCCGCGGAAGCCATTAACAGTGACCAGAGCACCGCAATGCAGCAACGTCCCCGGGCGGCGGCGGGAGTCTCGGATCTCCCGCGGGACTGGAGCGTAGCGAGTTCGTCCTGGGTCCGGTTTAGTGAAGTGAAGAATTTCGGGGTGCTTGCATGGCAAAAACCTTCACTTCACTAATCTGGGGCCCCTGGAGCCCCAGGGCGTTTCAGGTCCCCTCGCTGTCTGGGTAGTCCAGGGGGCGCAGTGGCGGCTTACCAGAGGCCCTGTTCCCTAGCCTCACTTGCTTTCACCCGTGGTGCTCGACGGCCGTCTCGGAGCTGTCTTGTGGCGGTCTGGGGCAATCCCGAAGCCTCTTGGAGCCATCCCAAGGCCCCAAGGCGCCACCAATGGGGGCCCCAAGAGAGCTCCCAGAGGGCCCCGAAAGGCCTACAACAGATTGCACGTTCGCGCGAATTCTTTGTACCACTTTGGGGGGTCCCTCTTGGGGCCCTCGGGGAACGTTCTTGGGGCCCTCCGAGGGCCCACTGGGGCCCCGGGAAGGCCCCAAGAACGCTCCCAGAGGGCCCCAAGAATGCTCCAAGAGGGCCCCAAGAGGACCCCCACAAGTGACAAAAACTATTTGCATGAGGGTGCAACTTACTCGGCGCCTCTTGGGGCGCTCTTGGAGCCGTGCTGGGCGCCACTCGTGGACGACATGGGCTGGGCGACGGCATGTGGACCCTGTCGCTTGGGCCATCGGGGGTGCTCCCCAATGGGGCCACGAAGCTTGTGAGCGTATGACGGAATGGGCTGGGCGGCGGCCTGTGGGCCCTGCCTGTGGGGCCGTCGGTGTAGCTCCCCGTGGGGCCACGAAGCGTGTGAAACGTATGCCGAAATATGCTGGGCGGCGGCCTGGGAAACCTGCCGCTGGGACTTTTTTTAGTGGAGCTGCCTATAGGGGCACGAAATGTTTGAGGGTGTCATCAATGTGGCCTGGGCGACGGCATGTGGACCTTGCCGCCGGGACCTCCGATGAGCTCCTCATGGGGACACGAAGCGTCTGAGGGGCGTGCCGACATGGGCTGGGCGGCGCACTAAGGACCCTGCCGATGGGGCCTTCGGTGGAGCACCTCACAAGGCCACGAGACTTGCGGGGGATGTGGCGAAGCAGAAACGCGGGGGAACAAGGGGGTGTTTTGATGATGTTGATGAGGATGGTGGTGGTATTGATGATGGAGACGACGAGAATGCTGATGCTGATGATGATGATGGTGATGGCGACGATGACGATGGACGATGACGACGGGGACACGCGGAGAGCAGGGGCAGATACGCGAAGAGGGAGGACGAGGGAGGGGGCCGGAAGGAATGACGCGGGGCGGTGTCTCTTCAAAACGAAGAACCAACACTGCAATATGGTAAGAAATTTCTGGACGACCCCC